GTTGATTATAAAAATATACTCATGCCTATATAGATTAAATTAATTGAATTACTTTTCGTCAGGAGTCGGTCAAGGTGTAAAATTCAAATAGCTAGGTAGGTCTGAAAGGGGCTGAAAGTGCCGGATAAGACGAATGATACAGGTTATAGTTCTAGAAATTTTATCTAGGCTCTTGATCTGTATCCAGTTTATTTTTAAACAGAGATCGAAATGCAAAACTGACCTCTCTCTGTGGCAAGTTGTGCCGCAGCTGGGGTCGGTTGTGCCGTGCATAATGTTTGACCTTTTTACATGACTGACATGACTATCTTTATTTGACCACATTCACCACATCACTTAATGACTACATCGCAAAATTACTAATCAATATATTTGACTTCATCTCGTAATGACTAGGTCGCAAAATGTCATAATAGGTTGATTGACTAAATATATCAATACAGTTTCTATAAATAAAAATGAATCGCAGAAATGTATTTTTACGCATTATTTCCGAACAAGTGCATCAAATTGGATAATTCTTACGTATATATTATTATTTTTTAAGCATATAACTGCTAGATGTTTAAATCTAAAGAAATGTTTCCTAGAAATAAACCACTCTTCCACTGTAACATTTTACAGTTTCGCATAATAATATAGATAAGGATAATAACATTAGGGGTCGTAATATAGTATTGTTATATAATGTGTAAAATAAGAAAAAAAATAGTTTAAATTTAGAGAAATAACAAAGTATTTAGTTTCAAAATTGTATTTTTAGGTTTTCAGCTACATATCTAACCGTAATTCATATAAATGTAATTAACTGAAATTGCGCAGTTTTATTATACTACATTTTTGTAACAAAACATAAACTAGACAAAATATAAGCTATCCTGTCATTTTGCGACCAAATCATTATGAGATGTGTTAAAAAAATGTAGTTATTTTGCGACCAAATAATTAAGTGATGTTGTCAAATAAAAATCTAGGAAGGCTAAAATACGTCGGCGTTTTTGTTATTTTTCCACTTATTGAAAGTTTCGTAAGGCGCCAGCTATTTTTCTCTGGATTTTGGCAGCAACAGCCTATCACTCGCGTTTCGTGCCTCGATAAGTATTTCCGGCGGAGTTGAATTAATTTTTTGCATGTCTTCATTATTTGAAGTAGACATTTTTGATAGTACCTATTAACCACACAGCAGAAACTACTAAATATTTACGGAAAATAGCGAGTAAGACGGCGCACTTTCGATGCCCGCACAGGAAAAACCGGCAGTGCAGCCGGAGCAGCAGCAATAAAAATATAAAATAAACTATAAATTACTGTTTCTAAATACGACAGTAAATTTGTGTTTACAAATATGAAATAAAATGTTTATTTGTCTTCTTAACGTTAGGGTTAACATTTTATTTGTCGTTTCATTAAAATGTCGTTTTTAATATTTGTAAAAATATTCAATGCCCTTAGGCAAAACTTAACTATAAAACTTGCTTATTTACGAAATGCATTTATGGAGGTGGTATGTTTAAAGTTCAAAATTACGAGTCATCCAATGGACAGAAATCAGAAATCAATATATCTTTATTCAAATTGGATGTATAGTACAACTCTTTTGAATCGTCCAAAAATTTTTTTCCCTACCACTCGTTATGGACATATTTTTTAGCTGCAGAGAAAAACGAGCGAAAAAAACTCCACAACATTAAGTCTAATGTAACAACATTTACAAATCATTATGTTGTTACAACGTCAATACAATTATGATTTATTTAATATAGAAAACCTGTTGGAATGATTGGAACAGTTCAAACCCAAGCATTTTTGTCTATAATATAATCAGACACTTTGTAATAAGCTTTTTTAATAAGTGTTTTTTTTTATAATATCTTTAAATTTATTTATGGCTAACTCTTGGATATTGCTTGGGACTTTATTGTATAAGCGAACACAAAGACCTTTAAATGAATTATTAATTTTGTGAAGCCTAGTAGCAGGTAAAGTTAGTTTATTTTTGTTTCTTGTATTAATTGTGTGAACATCACTGTTTTTAAGAAACAAATTAATATTTTTTCTTACAAGTAATAAATTTTCGTATATGTATTGTGATGCGACCGTCATTATTCCAAATTCTTTAAACTTATCTCTTAACCACCACCACCACGACCACGCGGTAAAACATTTTTTTTTTTCGGTCGAATCTCACTAATCTAATCGGAGCTGCGGGTTAGAGTGAGAGAGGAAGAATATCTACATCAGAAAGTTGTTAAACTAAATGAGCACAGAAGATTGGTAAGTGAAAGGGGAATTGGAGGATGGAAAGAGGGTTGGATAAGTAAAGGGGATTCGACGAGGAAAAGGGGGATTGGATGGTGATAGTGGGAATTGGTAGGTGAAAAGGGTATTGAAGGGGGAAAGGGATTGGCGGGTGAAAAGGGGATTGAGTGTATAAAAGGGATCCAAGGGTGAAAAGGGGGATTTGAGGGTAAAAGGGATTCGAGGGTCGTTACGGGATTGGTGCAGGGATGTAACGGAGGTAAATTTATCGAAACCAAATCGGAGTCGGAGTTTTTAAATTTGATTTATTGGAGTCGGAACTGGAGTCGGAAGCAGAGACGGGGTCAGAGGCATTCAGAAGTGGTCACAAGAGAGATATTTTAATTTAAGAACAAATAAAAACATAATTCAGTCAAGCTTTTTTCGTTTTAATTATATAATAACCATTTTTCATTTAAATTTACTTAATATTAACACAGACTTAACAGAATTAAGACCACTTAACATCAGGTAGGGTAGAGAGTGCCTACCTCGCTATAAAAAAAAGACCCAAAGCGACGTGTATGAACGAGTTCTTAAAGGTCGACGCAGGCCGCCCCATCGCTATTTGCTATGCTTCGACCTCCGATTAAAAAATTTCGGAGCCGAAATCGGAACCGAATGTGTAATAATTAATAATCGGAAGTTCCACCTTATCGGAATCAGCGTCGAAGCTCCGTAACATTCCTGGATTAGTGGGTTATAATAAGGGATTGGCGGGTGATAGTGGCGATTGATAGATGACAATAGGGGATTGGTGGGTGATAGTGGTAGGTGAAAAGTGGAAGGGTGTGAAAAGGGATAAGAAGTGAAAAGGGGATTGGAGGGTGTAAACGGGATTTGAGGGTGAAAAGGGATTCGACTGTGAAAAGGGGATTCGAGGGTGAAAAGGGGGATTGGAGAGTGAAGGGGATTCGAAAGTTAACTACATACCTATCTAGGAGCTTGAAAATTATTAATATTGTTTTGTTTTAGTCGTTATTTAGTTGTACATGCTCTGCTTGGTTTTTGTAAGTTTCCAAAACTTGTTTACTTATTTAAAATATTTTTAACATAGCGCAGGTAGGTAACTACTAAAAGCTAATCTCATTTGAAGCAACCCTAGCATGACGCCTGTTGTGATAACGCTCGCAACGCAATACAAATGGACGAGTATTGAGTGGGCTCCCACGGCCTACAACGCGGCGGCTCTCTAACTGTGTCAATATTCCAGGAGCCTACTGAGTTCCTAAGGATATCACAGTAAAGTATATGTGTGAAAGTTTATCATCTGGGTACCTACATAATTTTACAACCAGTATACCTACCAGTAAACCACCCCTAAAATCTAAAAACAAATTGCCACTTGACTTTGTAGCAAACAAAAGGAAATTGTGATTACTAATAAAATGAATTTATTGTTCCTTAAAACATTCTTCCCTGGCTTAAATGCATTTTTTTCATTTGGGTAAAGCAATTTTGCAAACATTTGAAGATTTATCTGCGCTGTAACCTAATAAAGATTCAATTTTAGATATGGCTGTCTTACTTTTAAATCCTTTGCCTTCCTGAAATCACAAAAATTAAAAATCATAAATATATATGACATTGACAATGTGTCCCTTTTAGTGAAGTGAGTAGTAGAACTACTCACTAATATCATTGTATCATTTGGAACTGAGCTAAATCATCAAGAAATAATGACTTGATTCGCCGCACTCCTACATATCACTGCATGTTATTATATAATTGTGATCTTCTGTTGCCATGGACGTACTATATAGACATTATTTCCTTTAATTTTTTTTCATCATTTCTTTTACCTATTTCTAACTTCATTTTGATGATGCAGAGATCAAACCACGCTAAGTAAGCTAAGGGAGAATCTAACAATGGATCCTTTGTCTCGTTCTTCCAATGGGTACAACTATTACTGGCCTAAAAGATCATAATTATTTTGAAAATTAGTACCAAAATTTCCCTTATTATTTTAATATATTTTGCTAAATTGAAGTCATCGCGATATTATAATAATGAGTCAGTTATGGGTCATTCTATTCTCGGGTTAATTATTAATGAAAAACCTCATCTTATTATAAGTAATACAAGGCTTCCGTTCTATATCACACTTGTCCCGCTTCATCGCATTAGTCCCGTTTATTTAATGGATTTATGTATTTGACTTTTCATCGGCCGAGTTCCGTGAACTTACTTACCAGTTTAACAGCCATATTGTGATATTTCATATTCGTGCAGATTCAGATTAATACTGGTACTTCACATGTAATTTGTATTTGCTTCACTGTAAAATGAGAGCAGTGTGGTGACTGTCAAATAAAAGTAACTTAAAAAGTTTATACTTAATTTAAAAAATAATCAATGACTTAATATTCATCTATACATAGCCAAAAAAATATTTAAATAAATTCTTCGGTAAAAATTAATAAAAGTTTAATCTTGCTATTAAAGGAAACGTCAGGAATAATGAAAAAGGTAATAAACACCACTTTATAGCCTTTCACAAAAGTTCTTTAGCTAAGAGATTATTATGTTAGTCACATTTACACTTTCATCAGTAAACTTGTTGTTTTAGTTCCAACTCCGATAATAAAAGTATCACAAATCTGAAACTTTATACTGTTGCAGATGCAAATGTTCCAATCACACGATACTTCTCTGGCTCGCTCGACTGACATTGACATTCATGTCAATCGTTCGTTTGACAGCTTTTTAATTTAAAAAAAAACATCAGCTGGTGAAAAAACGTAAAACTAAAAAGTTAAGAAAATGAACACTCTATGGAGACGAAGTACAGCATCCTTATTCTTATATCGAAATTTAAAACCAGTATTTTTTAAAACACCTAGACTTCATCATATATTATGTGAAAACTTTGATTTAACCTCGAAACACAATCTGCCTTCTAGCAGTTCCTTTATTTTTAGTAGATTAAAGTCTAAAAAGGTTTGCATAATATTTGGTTCAATTAAAAATAGGTACTGTAATTCAACTATTATTTAATAGATATGTAAATCTTATATCCACTATGCAAATGACATTAGGACATAGTTTGTGCTTAACTACTAACTTTTCACAGTATACTTATTGATTTTTTGTTCTAATAGCAAGCACTTTTTTATTGCAGCAAATAGACTCTGATGATGAAGATAATTTCAATGACGATACTTCACTATCTAAAGACTCAAAAGTTGTAAAGTTTAACACAACTTCCATGAGAACTGATGTCATATTAAAATCTGCATTAGGAGTAGCTAGAAAGTAAGTAAGTTTATAAACATAGACATTCAAAATGCATGACCTTTAAAACTGAGATTACATGATACTGTATCTTCATATAGTATAAAACGAAGTTACTCCTACTGTTTGTATACTTAAATCTAGATACTATGCTATAAACTATGCAAAAGGTTTGAATGCTGTTTATAGAGTCATTGAAGAGGAAGGTTTAAATGTTTACTAATAATACTCTAGAACAAAATCTACAGTGTTCATCAAAGCCAAGTGAGAGTGTTGACTAGTAAATACTATTTTGAAAATTTGTAGTAAGAACATATCGCACCTGAAGAAAACAATTTTTTTTTCAGGATGAGCATTTAAAACTTTAACATCCCAAAACATACAATATGTAAACATTTTTACGTGATGGAAAGGTTATACAGTTTAGCTATTCATTTAAATAAAAACTTTAAATATTGTATGTTTTGGGATGTTAAAGTTTTAAACCCTTCTCCTGAAAAAATGTTTTTTTTGCATAAGTGACAGTGTCACACCAGGGGTGCGATATAACTCATTGGTCCAGCCCCTCTAGCATGATCACCGAAACAGGAAATGCTAAAGCAATATATCAGCATTAACTGTCAGACTATTGCTTTATCATATCCCGTTTCGGTGGTCATGCTAGAGGGGCAGGGGTAGATTTACTATAATTTTTATCCTCATTTTTTATGACAGCATATTTTCTAAATCATTTATACATTACCTAACAAGGCTATCAAGCATTCTAACTGTAGTTTGTGATGGATCCCTGATCTTAAATATCCCTCAGGGTTTTTTGAATATTTGCAGGAAGTCACAGGTCACCATGCAGTGTTCAATAAAAACACGAAGATCAATTGCATCAAATTTGTTTATCTCTATTAAACTTAAACTATAATTATTGTAGATGTAATTTATGTAATGTTTTAAATCGGGGTTAAATCTAATTTATAAAAGGTTTAAGCAAATTTGCTGTAAGTGGGTCTTAGTCAAATAAAATATTATTAGTTTTGATGTTTCAGTAAAATAGAGCAAGTGTTCTATGAAAGCAAAATAAGGCTGAATGGAAAAAAAATACTCAAGAAAAGTGCTTCAGTGAGTATTTGTTATTCCTTTAATTTATAGTTCTTTATTTATGATACCTGTGCTGTTATCTATATAACTTTAATAATAAATATTCTTTTTCTTGTCCTCAGACTAAAGTAGGTGATGAGATTGATGTAATAAAAGCTGTAAGTCCTAAAAATACTGATCACTTAATTGTCTCCAGGGTAGAAATATTAAATATAACAGCAAATGAAGATGCCATAACAGTTACAGCTCGTCGGTTCAAATCTTTGCTTATTGAAAATTATGAAAAGGATGCTTACAAATCTTCAGTTGATTCTGAAGCAGATAAATAATATAAAAAATTAGTTTAGGTAGTTTATTTGTAAATAAAATATTATAAATAAAACGAAAAAGGTTAAAGTACTTATTTTATTTAGTTAATAATCATTTTCATGATTTATATATCTAAATCAATATCACAGTCTGAACTTTCAAATATAGATATTTGTGAATTTGATGTTCCTGATTTTCTCTGACTTACATTGCTTGTGCAACTATTAAATTTTTCTATTTTTACAATGTTAACATCATGTTTTGTTGGAGATTTTTCAACCTTTTCATCATAAAATTTACTGAAGTCATGTTTTTCTACAAATTTGAACTTTTGCAGCTTATCCATTGTTTTCTTCTCAGATACTTCTGATTTTACATTTACTTTATGAGAGCACTCCTTTGATTTATTTGCCTCAAAATGATTTGTAAAATCTGAACACAATTTATTTGAATCAATGTTAATACTTTCACTATTTCCGAATTTTAAATCTATTCCTAATTCTGTAAATATATCATTAACACTTGGCACCCCATTCAACAGATCTGTGTTTTCTGACATAACGTTATCACTAGGGCTATTCTCAATCATACTATCTGATTTTTTTTGCCTCTTAGTTATACAATTATTAATTGGTTTTACATCAACCATGATTTCTTTTCGTTTGCGATCATTTGTTTTATTGCTTTTATTGTTAGTTGTTTTCTTCGCACGTTTATTTATTAAAGTGCGTTTTTCCACATTACCTCTTACAAGCTTAATATTAGCATTTTCAAAATCATCCTCATTACCTTTTCTTACATCTATTTCCTGACTTTGAGGACTATTCTTATTATTGAAATATGAGCTAGTTACAACTGCTACAGACAATGGAATGTTCTCGTCATCCACATAATCATATTTGGTAAATAAACTACAATCACCCCCTTCTATACTTTTTTCTAATGTTTTGTGATCCACTTGTAATAGACTTCCGTAATACAATAATTCTTCTTGCCAGATTTCATATAAGTTCAATCTTGTAAGAAGCTTCTTGGCAGTACATAAATATTCGTAATCTGGGTGCTTCTGAAATGTTGAATGTAAGGCATCTACTGTGTCATCAAGTGTGCAGTCTTGCATGGACAAATCTACTAAAGATACTGCTGTTATTGCATCCATTGGTAATATAGTTGTTCGATACATAAGTCGACAATGTGCTTGAGATAATCTGAAACCAAAAATATATTTATTATTAATGCTATTTCTATAAATAAGTGGTAATCAAAAATACTACACAGCCTCTACCCTAGACTATGTATCTTCCCCAGGGCTTATTAAAACTGAAATACATAGACTTTTTGAATTCTCTCAGCATATTTTCTAAATCATACATTACCTAACAAGGCTATCGAGCATTCTAACTGTAGTTCGTGATGGATCCCTGCATTCAGATTTTCTTTGCGTCATATAATAAGCACGCAGTATCATATTTGCTGATTTCGTCATACTCGTTGGTCGTGCTCCAATAAGACTTATATACATCTGTAATATTTAAATATCACCATTAGAAAAAAATCTCAAATTTTGACTCAAATTCATCATCTTCATCAGCCTATTAATGTCTCCACTGCTGCGGCACAGGCCCCATGGATAAAACGACAGGATTTGGCCATGATTAGAGATACCATTTAGGAATTTTGAAAGTCCTGACAAAAATCCTGACATTTCGAAAAAAAATCCGGTCTTAGTAACAAAATGGTACCATTACTCACTTAGTTACAATGGTATGGTATGTAAATCAATATGTACTTTTATTATTCGTATTCAATGTAATGTAAAAAATCCGGACAATTTAAAGAGCCGTACAAAGTCCGGAAATGGCCGGACTAATCCGGAAGGATGGTAACCCTAGCTTAGCTAGCCTAGCTTACGACTGCAGATGCAGCCGGGAATTGGTTAGTTTGAAACCCATTAGTTTAACGTGCCTTCCGAAACACGGCGGAGCTCGAGATAGTAAAATTTTGGTTACCCATCCAACGGCCATCCACTTCGAAATTCAATGCAATAAAATTCATAGTTATATCAAAAAGTACGTAATCGCCGTGCCCACCGGGTTGTGGGTTAAGAATACAGCGATATTCCTGTTGCACTTGCTCCAAAACAGTAACGGGTGCGGTAAGTCTTGATTTTGAAATGAGGGCTAACGCGTAGGTATGAATCTGCCGCTAGACTTGGCGCTTGTGTAGCGTGAGGTCTCTGCAATGTTAACTGTTATTGCTTGTGGGTTGAGTACGCGGGTTTATACCTAATTAAAATAATGTGAATAATTGGTAATTACTCAGATTTATTATTGCAAATATGAGTTACGTTTCAATGTATGTCAGTTATTTAAAAGCGGAGCTAAGAAAAAATATTGTCCCCTCTTTTTTTCCGAACAAACGGAACTGCGCAACACTATGGCTTGGCTGATTATGTTTATGATACGGTTCTTTCGTATTAAAATATGAATGTAAACTGATTTCACGCACGTATTGACAAACTTTAAAAGCTTCAGGACCTCACTCAACAGTGGCGCCATCTGATGAGACAAACAACGTAGCTCTCATTGAGTGAGCTTTTTTCCAAAACTAATAATTTTTTAGGCTAAGAATTCACGTGACGGTTTTTCCGGGCGGCCAGCAGTTTTGTACGCCCCCGCGGCTACGAGATCCGACGAATCCCGCCATGTCTACGGGCGCAAATCGCGTCGTGAGTTTTGCTTTTGCGTTTTACCTACAATTTAGTCCTATCTATCATGTTTTTTATTTACTTGTGTGTCTTGTATGGTGTATTACAATAAAGAATATTATTATTATTTCACATTCTAAACGAGTTGCGGTCGGAGAAAATCGCGCCGTGAGTTCTTAGCCTTATTGACTGTGATTAGTTCACTCACAATAGTGCAATCTAATCTTTCGTAAATAAAAAAAACAGGTAAGTGCGAGTAGGAATTGCACACGAAGGGTCCCTTACCATCGTATAAGATGACTGTCGGTTTCTTATATGGAGGCCCCTATAATATATAATTATTTATTCATCATTATGGTAATATACGGCCAAATTTCAACTGTGTCTGTAAAGTTGCATGACTTTCAGACCTCTGGTAAACAGACAGAGAGCGGAGGCTAAATAATAGATTTGCTTTATCACCCTTTAGAATCGTACGCAGCACTTAATTAAAAAAAAAAAAAAAGCTTAATTATATATTATGTACCTGCATTTTTTCAAGGCTCCAATGTCGAACTGAATCGGAATTTGATCCCCCATATAAAATATATGACGAAACAAGTTTATCCCAAGTTTTGTTTTTTGCATCCAAAAGTATAAATATCAAATCAAATCTGAAACAATAGATACAGTTGTTATATATTTTTTGAAGATTTTATATAACCTATACAAATATAGGGTTTGTTTTCTTTGAATCATTGCTATTGCTTCTCCCACTACTGTTATAATAACGTAATGTTAAATCTTTATATATATAATTCTTCTGTGAGTGTGTATGTCACTGAACTTCTCTTAAACGACTGGACCGATTTTGATGAAATTTTTTGTGTGTGTTCAAGGGGATCTGAGAATGGTTTAGATTCACAATTTTGTCCGCTGGACAACCCCTATTTTTTTAGGGCGGTACGAAGTTCGCTGGGTCAGCTAGTATAAGTAAATTTTTTTAGCAATTAACTGCTAGATGATTAAATCTAAATACAATTTTACTAGATTTTTTTTCTTTAGATTTAATCTTGAATGTACTTGTAAAAAAATCTAACTTTAGATAGGAATTGAGGAATTCTATTGTAATTTATGGCAATTTAGGATTACTAGTTTTTTTTTAGTAACTATAATTGAAGGTGTATAAGTCAGTTTTCTTAGTTTATATATTGTTTTTGTTTGTCCCTGATTTAAAAGCAGATGTAGGTAACAAAAGTCAGTTCTATAAAAAACATACAATCTGTCATATTAGTCCAGTCAATGAAGGCTTAACTTTGCCATTTTGAGTTGATCACCTGCAACCATCGCGAAAATTTCCGCAAGGGTTCGTAGATTAATATACTAAAATTGCAGGGTGCTGCATTGACGGCAGAGGGCGAAAAAAAATGCGAAATGGTGCAAAAACGAGTTTTTCGTCAATATCTCGCGACTGGCTGGAAAAATAGAAAAAGTTTGTAGCACAAAGTTGTAGAAAATTTAATTTCCTACAAAAAAGGTATCAACTTATTTTCGCGTATCTCCCATAGTTTTTACACAAAATGCAATTAAAGACGCAAATTAAAAAAAGAAAAAATATTCTTTATGGTTTTTTTTCCATTTTTAAACGATCCTACGGGGCAAATTCAACAATCACCAATTACTGAAATATTTAAGGATGAGTTTTCGGCAGTCCACTGAAATGAAAATTGTCTACCGAAATGGTAAAAAATTACCACCGAAATGATACAGCCAAGAACATCGCCTTTGTAGTAGAAGGGTTCCCTATTTTGAATTTAAATAAATGTCTTTATTCTTTGTAAATATTTTTGTTCATTATTTTTTAATAAGAATTATTAATGAAGAATTAATTAATTGTTACTCCTATTAAATATTATTACTAATTAATATGTACATTTTCAAAATAACGAACAAAGCGCGTTTAGAAAGCGAGAAGTTTATTATTAGTAAATCGTCCCCTTAGTGCCAAAACCGATTATCTGCACTTTTCCGCTACTGAACTTTTATAATACCAATCGACCCGTCTCATTAAGCCGCATCTACAGGTAAAACCCATTATGCTCTACGACGCATACTTCCTGAAATAGCTAATGAATAAACAAAATAACTGCAATTTATTTCCAAAATATTTGATTTAAAACCTAATAAACCCATTCAAAACACTTAAATTTGTAAACGTATTAATTGTTGAAACCAAGTTTCGGATTTAAACTCATTTTCATGTAGACACTTACGAGTAAATATCCTGTGAGATTATTCCACTAAAATAAGTTATCCCACGGTAATTAGCTTTGACTGTTTGAATTTTACCAGATATTTTAATTTTACTAGATGAAGTAAAAACTAAAAAACCTGTCGCTTTTTGAAAAAAAAATATATATAGAATATTTGCGTTATATTTGAGGCAAGTAAAAGAAGATACCGAATTTTAATTTGTTTTTACTGAATAACTTTTATTTGACGCTTTATAAATTACTTCAGCTAAAATCGGTTATCAGTGTTTACTCTTTTCTTTCACTGTAATTTATTAGCGTTAGTCATCGTTACTTTAAAATTTATGCTTCAGCTAAAACCAGTTATCCATGTTTAACCGTCTCTTCCGTACACAGATCGTGCGCACAGATCGAGCAACTCACTCGCTAGGAGTGAGTTGCTCACTTTTATTCATTCATTGTTGAATCACGCGCTGGGCAACACTGTTATTCTTTTGTTTAATTAATCACTAATAAACATTACTGGGTGAACTATTCTGCGTATTTAGTTTAAAATGATGGCTACTAAGAAAGATGACGAAAAATATAGTTAAAAAAAAATATTTAATTTTATTATATGATAATTTAATTTTACCATTTCTTTTTCTTTCATCGTGTTCAGTGCAAAATTTACGTTTAAAACATATATTTGCAATATGTATTATCATTATCATATAATAAAATTTAAATATTTTTTTTGTCAAAATTATTATATGAAAAAAGGAAATAATAAATAAATACCCGAAACATATTAATTAAATCCTAATAAAGCATGTAGGGGTAAACTCCCCGAGCAAAAAAAAATACACGGTATTCCTCAGAGCGGCAGTGCAATGTGCTGATTTATGATTTTGTATTTTTTCTTGGTTAAGTAGGTACTTCTTAACCTTGGCAAAAATAATTATTGAGTAATGGGCTCTAAATCCATAAAATAAAAAAATACGAAGTGGCATTTTATTTTCACGGTGAACTGTTCTAAACCCAATTCCTCTCGTAAAATTACTACCCATGTAGTTACTTTTATTTTTTGGATTGAAATTAACTTTTATATCAATCTAATATATATAAATTCTCGTGTCGCGGTGTTTGTGGTTAAACTCCTCCGAAACGGCTTTTCCGATTCTCATGAAATTTTGTGTGCATATTGGGTAGGTCTGAGAATCGGACAACATCTATTTTTCATCCCCCTAAATATTGAGGGTAATCCACCCCTAATTTTTTTTTTTCTATTTTAGATATATTTTTTTTAATTTTTTTATGATACATCATTCAAAAATACATACAACCCTAAATTTTCACCCTTCTATCACCAACCCCTATTTTTTTATGGCGGTACGAAATTCGCTAGGTCAGCTAGTAATATATAATATAGCCTATCAACAAAAACCACTATTGTTTGTTTACCTTCTTTCTTATACATGTAACAAGCACACAACTTTTGTCCTGGAAAAAGTTATCATTTCCATGGACAGTAAGTTTTTGTGAAATAGGTTCGTTAACATTGTTTTGTTGTATCCCGCTTGTCAGTGCTCCCTTCGAGCCAGGCCGCCTTAGGTGGATCACACGCACGCGCAACAACGTCATTGTGGATTCCCGCCAAATAGTAAGCATACCATTTCAGTGATATGGGGACAATTGAGCTAGTTTTATATATGTAAATGTATTTTTATTTTATTTTTATTTATGAATATTATATTCTATATATATGTATATATATATATATATATCTTTCTGTGTGTATGTATGTGTACGTGCTGTGTATGAATATATATGCGTATCTGTGGATGTGCGTGCATGTACGAGTATGTATATACAGTTAATGTGCAATTGTCTGACGTGTGCCTAAGATGTAATTTTATAATTTTTCAAAATGTAAATGTCGAAATGTCCTTCTTTTTTTTGTTCTTATTTTATTTTTATTATTAAGTATTCTTTTATAATGATGTCGATTATGGCGTGATTCTTTAGGGCTAGTCTTGGGTTTGACAGCGGTGCATTCCTGTCATTCTCTATACAGAATGAAGGGGAGGGACGGGTGTTGAATTTGGTTTTGGGTTCGGAGTCACGCCAGAATCGATACCAAGTATTTATGTTATTTTGTTTACTATAGCGCCTAACACGTCCTCAAACAGGCCCTGCCAGAATACCAGCGCTGATACAGTGAGAGAATATTTTCTCATTGTATCAGCATAAGCTGAGGCAGGGTCCTGATTGGCCATTTTAAATGTAATGATTAATTTTTGTTCTTAGGTTAAGTTTCTTTTTTATATTTTTTTTCCTGTTCCTTATCCGCTCAAGTGATTGCACTCCTGCAATGAGGGATGCGGCAGTGTGATGTCGCTCGGCAGCTGAACTTGAACCGTTTCTCGGTGGTTGTTTTGAATTTGGTGGGGGGTAAATGCGTGTGTTAAGGGTTATAATCATGCTTAAAAGTTATTTTCGCGGAGATGCGATTTTTTTGACGTCAGGTGTATATTATTTTAACTGATTTAATTGGATGTACCATCGGGCATCTTAACGGTTAAATATTATTATATAGTCCAGTCAATGAAGGCTTAACTTTGCCATTTTGAGTTGATCACCTGCAACCAACGCGAAAATTTCCGCAAGGGTTCGTAGATTAATATACTAAAATTGCAGGGTGCTGCATTGACGGCAAAGGGTGAAAAAAAATGCGAAATGGTGCAAAAACGAGTTTTTCGTCAATATCTCGCGACTGGCTGGAAAAATAGAAAAAGTTTGTAGCACAAAGTTGTAGAAAATTTAATTTCCTACAAAAAAGGTATCAACTTATTTTCGCGTATCTCCCATAGTTTTTACACAAAATGCAATTAAAGGTGCAAAATAAAAAAATAAAAAATATTGTTTATGGTTTTTTTTTCCATTTTTAAACGATCCTACGGGGCCAATACAACAATCACCAATTACTGAAATATTTAAGGATGAGTTTTCGGCAGTCCACTGAAAGGAAAATTGTCTACCGAAATGGTAAAAAATTACCACCGAAATGATACAGCCAAGAACATCGCCTTTGTAGTAGAAGGGTTCCCTATTTTGAATTTAAATAAATGTCTTTATTCTTTGTAAATATTTTTGTTCATTATTTTTTAATAAGAATTATTAATGAAGAATTAATTAATTGTTACTCCTATTAAATATTATTACTAATTAATATGTACATTTTCAAAATAACGAACAAAGCGCGTTTAGGAAGCGAGAAGTTTATTATTAGTAAATCGTCCCCTTAGTGCCAAAACCGATTATCTGCACTTTTCCGCTACTGAACTTTTATAATACCAATCGACCCGTCTCATTAAGCCGCATCTACAGGTAAAACCCATTATGCTCTACGACGCATACTTCCTGAAATAGCTAATGAATAAACAAAATAACTGCAATTTATTTCCAAAATATTTGATTTAAAACCTAATAAACCCATTCAAAACACTTAAATTTGTAAACGTATTAATTGTTGAAACCAAGTTTCGGATTTAAACTCATTTTTCATGTAGACACTTAAAATATCCTGTGAGTATCCTGTAAGGCTAGGCTAGGAGGCTTTGACTTGACTGTTTGAATTTTACCAGATATTTTAATTTTACTAGATGAAGTAAAAACTAACAAATTTGTCGCTTTTTGCAAAAAAAATATATATAATATGTTTGCGTTATATTTGAGGCAAGTAAAAGAGGATAGATAGAATCGATCGACAGGTGACCTTCTAGCGTACGTGACATATATCTGGGGTGAGGCTATCGATAAGCGAGGTGAGTCTTTGGCTATCAGCCTTAACATCGCCAAGGCTTTGATAGGGTCTGGCACATAAGTCTTCTCTCCAAGCTTCCTGGATACGGTCTGCCTACTCAGTTCTGTGCCTGAGTGGCTGACTTCCTGCATGAACGTCAACGGACGGCGACGGATGTAGTTCGCAGTTCATGTCAGTGAATGCCGGTGTTTCTCAGGACTCCGTCCTATCCCCTATACTCTTTTTGCTGCATTCAATGATTTAATTCCTCTTGAGAATATTCATTGCTATGCAGACGATAATACAGTGCATGCGGGATATTTTGGATACGCAGCCGTTGGACAGGTAGAAACCAAAGAGAAACGGGAGAATCTTGTCATTGAACTCAATAAAGATTTGGACTGCATTTCGGAATGCGGTACCCAAGAACTTGGTTGAGTTTATTGCCAAGAAAGCCCAGGTCTGCGCTTTCACGGTAAAACTAACGTTTTTTCACGCCTGAGCAACTGTGCTTGTTGTACATGACGTAAGTACGGTGATGCTTTGGATAGGTTACAGCGGCGCGCGATCCGCATTATTGTCGATAAGGAGGTAGTCACCTCGAGCCTCGTCAATTACGCCGTGATGTAGCGTTATTAAGCGCGTTTTATCGACTATACCTTGGCGCATGTTTTGAGGAGTTATTGTCTCTTAACCTACCTTCCCCTTTCCTACAGAAGTCTACACGCGCTTGCTTACGTTGCCACCGACTTACTGTGAACTACTATTCCCACTGTTCCAACGTGAACAAGAAATTTGGTAACTCATTTCTTTGTCAGACTATCCGTAAATGGATTACTTTGCCCTCTTACGTGTGTGAAGTAGCAATTCTGCAGGCCGGCAAAATGAGGATAGCTGGTGTGGCAAGTAATACTGCTGTACTAATATCTTCGCGTCTAGACTCCTCCGTCATCTAACCTCTGGTGGAGTAATTTCTTGAGCCTATTTATAAAAAAAAATCTATAGCAAAGAAATTTTTTTGATTTTTGCTACAAAGGTGTCATATCTGAGGAGTACCATGGATTATGCAGAACTTTGGCTACAGAAATAAGCCAATCTGATCGTTTGCCTTCAGAAACCATTTTTGATGACTCATCATGTGCAAGCGAGTCAAGTTTTTTATATAGAAATCCTATCGGCCTCCAATGACTTCATCCGCTTTAACTTTAATATACATTTTTAAACTAGAAATTTTAGATTGAAATACTACTGCATCCGAAATATCGAACCTACAGTTTCTCGGTAAACGTACATCACAAACCGAAATTATTTAATATACCTATATTGACTCAAGGATCTCTAAAAACTTATGGATGTATCATATCGGCGATACTTTCATTCCCTGGACTCTTATCGGCATTACAGTCCACCGAATGAAATGAAATGAAATGAAAAATCTTTATTGGCCATGGTAATCAGCAGTGGTATCCATCTTCAATGTGTTTTTTTTTGTGAAAGATCTTCTCGTGTGTCCTCTTCAAGGGTTGGATAGCGAATAACTCCCAGTGAACCTGTATTAACTATTATATACCCACTAAAGGTAAAGTAAACTAGTGGACCTTTTGAGGAGCAAAATCGGAATTTCTTTTTTCATGAAATGAAATGATTTATTTTATTTTATGGGCTTTGGGGGTACTTTGTGGGGGTACATGCGCGTGTTAAGGATTAATAACGCTTGGAAGTTATTTTCGCGGAGGTGCGATTTTTTTTGACGCCGAGTGTAAATACATCATACATTATATCGCGAACAAAATAATTTTAATTTACATGAATGTTTTTTGAATCCGTCACGTATTGGACGCAACTGGAATCCAATGTAACAGAAGAGCGATTATCATAGCCTGTTGTAATTGGTCCTTAAGATCAATATGTCATAAGAAAGCACAGTCATTTCTGCCAGTTTCTAAGATAACGTAGTGCGATTCGAACTTTATGGCAGTTGTGAAGTTAGCAGCAAACGCAACACTGCGCAGGTTTCAGTTCAATAACATCCCATCATCCCACAGTGTCACCAAGATCATGTGGCACTGTCATATAGACATTGAGAGGAGGGCGCTGCTGGTGATTAAGTGGCGAAATGAGGGTTACTAATTACGTAAAATCTCCTCACTAAAAGGGACGTTTTAACTTGCAATAGATAGGTGTAAATATGCATATTATATCTCGGATTAGTATTTCCGAGTTATTTGAAGTTATACAAATAAAAGGATTATTTATACCTGTCTACAATTAGTTCCGATTTCGACCACGCGCCACTAGATCTTGGTTGCACTGTACATTTCGTTTACTGCGCAGTGGCTTGTGCCAACTTCGTAGCCGCCGTTAAGTTTGATTCGGACTACATACAAATATTACCTACTTAACAACGGAGTTCCAAGCGACACGTTAACGCTGAGTGGTTCGTCTGGTTGGTAATGTCCCTTCGGGTTGCACGCAGCTATGACGGCACAACGAGTGTTCAATTTACAAACTATTCCTGCCTAAAAGAAAACAAATTCAATTATGAATCGGAGGTTAATTCCCACACTTGTATGCTTGCTAATGGTTAGATTACTCCAAGGAGTGCTAAATAAAACCGAACCGTTTGAATGTTGTAGAAACACTGACTTATTTTATTGCTGGGGCACAAGCCTTCCCTATGGGCGGAATAGAGATTTGGCCGTGACCTCCACGCGGGCCCGGTGCTGATTGGTGGGTGCTGCAGATGCAGATGCAGACGGGACCAACGGCTTAACGTGCTTTCCGAAACACGGAGGAGCTCTAGATAAATAAGGTTTTGATCACACCCATCTAGTAACCGACCATTGCGAAACTTGGCAAAGTTCCATGAGGGCCGTCCGAAGCTTCTCCTCGATATTATAATTTATATTATATAGTATGGATAAAGAATTATTATAGTATGTATGTAATCGTGTTGTCATTGTCAAATTTTGTATGGAATGAACCAATTTGTTCTTACGTCCGGTAGTAAGTTTTCATAGAAAATTTGACGATGCGATACGATTACTGAGCTGTCTAAATTTCTGCTTGGGCCTGCGGTTGCCCGTCCCATTTGTTTCCGTTGGTGAGTTGGAGGTTGGAGTTCTCCATCGGATCAGGGCCAATGGCCATGGCCCAATCTCCCTATTCCATCCATAGGTAAGGCCTGTGCCTCAGCAGTGGGGACATTAAAAGGCTGATGATGGGATCCGGGATTGGGTTCAGATCAATTAGGCTTCAACTATTGTGGCAAATTGATTTCACTTACACGTAATATCAGATGGGATAGGATATTTGCTGCGCCCAATATTAAAGCTGTGATGTCACGAGACCATTGAGTGTTTTTTTTTCTTTATTAATTTAATTGAGTTGAAATTGAAATATTGTACGTGTCCATTAAAATTAGGTCCTACCATAATATCAGCTCTGCTGTGTGACACACTGTCGCAAGTTAGCCCTTAGATCTATTTTTACCTTACCTTTATGATGTATTAAGAGATAACAAACATTATTTTCTTTCAGTATTCCTTAAACACTTTTGAGACCTAATAGCAATCCGTGCCTACCTTGGCTATAGAAATGGTCTGCTGCTCCATCGCCTCGTGGATCGAGATCTTATCGATACACGCCACCGTCTGACAGCACTAAAGCACCCGCTTTCAGTTGCTCTTTTCCGTTTTACTGTAAAATGTGACTTAATAGCAACTAATTCGCGTCGACCTTGGCTACAGAAATGGTATGCTACTCCATCGCCTCGTGGATCGCCGTGCGGCTTCCAGTTAGTTGTACATTAACCATTTTCCTGTAAAATGTGACCTAATAGGAACTAATTCGTGCCTATCTTGGCTATAGAAATGGTCTGCTGCTCCATCGCCTCGTGGATCGCCGTGCGGCTTCCAGTTGCCATTCACCGTTTTCCTGTAAAATGTGACCAAATAGCAACTAATTCGTGCCTAAATTGGCTATAGAAATGGTCTGCTGCTCCATCGCCTCGTGGATCGCCGTGCGGCTTCCAGTTAGTTGTACATTAACCGTTTTGCTGTAAAATGTGACCTAATAGCAACTAATTCGTGCCTACCTTGGCTATAGAAATAGTCTGCTGCTCCATCGCCTCGTGGATCGTTGTGCGGCTTCCAGTTGCCATTCACCGTTTTGTTGTAAAATGTGACCTAATAGCAACTAATTCGTGCTTACCTTGGCTATAGAAATGGTCTGCTGCTGCATCGCCTCGTGTATCACTGTGCGGTTTCTAGTTGCCACTCACTGTCTTTCTGTTAAGTTGCCACTCACCGTCTTCCTATTAAATGTGACCTAAGAGCTAGAACACACATGCAATTAATTGCAGTGCTATAGTCGTGTGGTTCTTAAGAAAGTATACATATTTGCACGTGCGCCCACACTTGCGACACTTTCAAAACGATTTATTTGCAACTTTTTAGTTGCATGGCCCCGCAATTTTATTGCAACGCGATAGTTGCACAAAAATAGTTTTCTATATGAATCTATCGCGGCGCGCACTTTAAACGATAGTTGCAAGTAATAGTAGAAAAGGAGGAATACCACCGCATCAACGAAATCCATATCTGTCTAAATAATTGCAGTTGCAATTATCTTATGTGTTACGTATGTGCAATAGTTGTACGACGACGCCGACGATTGCAATGCAGTTAGTTGCGAATGTATTCTAGATCTAATAGAAACTAATTCGCGTCTACCTTGGCTATAGAAATGGTCTGCTGCTCCATCGCCTCGTGGATCGCCGTGCGATCGTGCTCGCGTAGTTGCGATATCTCGTCGATGCAGCAGACGCCGCCGTCTGACAGCACTAACGCACCCGCTTCCAATTGCCATTCACCGTTTTCCTGTGAATTGAAACAATTACTGTTTCCCTTTATCTACCTATTTCTTACCAATCTATTAGTAGAACAGCAACGATATTAAATACTCTAGATACACCAACACGAACAAAATCGTGCCCGAAACGTTTCCACAAAGTACATCGGACGATCCATGGAGCTCCGTGAGATGATCGCATAGTCAAACACAATAAAAGACATTATTTTAACATTAAAAGTCACCTTTAATGCATACTGTATAAGGTCTGAATTAAAACGCATGTGTCAAAGAGTTCCGACAGTGTGAAATGCAAGCTCGTAAAATTTTACGACTTATTGCTATATGTATAAGAATATAGACCTTATTTTTTGATTCGACGTGCAATTCTGAACGCGCTGCGCTGTTAGCAATATAGCAGGTACGGACCGCGAGGAAAAGAGACAGCTATATAATCGACCATGCATTTGAATATCACAAATATTTTCTATTAAATCAGTTTATTGCAAGTATTAGAATAAAGTTTGCTTCAAATTCGTTAAATTAACAAGTATTCATTACATACCTGCCGAAAAAACGGTCACGGGCCGCGCGTGACTGTGACCCAAGAAGTGGTGTTCAAGCACTTCTTGATTTGGGACACATTTTGAGCGCACGTAGTGTATCTAGGGTATTTAATAGAATAGTTGGTAGAACAGTTGTTATTAATTTGTGCCCATGGAAACTGTCAAGAAAAATTCAAAGGCATGTAATAAAAACGCGATTGGCTCCTTTCAAAATGTTTTATTAAATGTTTCCCTCAAGTTTTTCAAGGTAATTCTAACCGTTACCCTACTATCCCACAGCACAATAGTACTAAATTCAGGGCTAGGCTAATTAGTGTGAGTGTTAGAAATATACAAATAAATGCTCACCCTAAGAGCAGCGCAAGTGAGGCCAGCTCGAGTGCTCCCAGCACCTGACGTAAACACGGATCTCGCCGTCAAATCGGCACCCGATCTCAATAGCTGCGACTTTCCAGTTCCTAACATAACAACATAATCACCATCATCAGGCTACGTATTAATGCTGGGGCTGTGGAGCAAATACCAAGAGACGTTGTATAGGCTCTAAGAAAACAAGTAAAGCCACTATACTTATCTGAATAAATTTTTATACTTATCTGAAGAAATTTATTACAATCAAAAAATTATTCAACTTATCAAAGGGACTAGGTATAATTCAAATGGGTAGAACTATTAATGTCTCTCATTAAATCAATGCACAGTTATATACAGCAGCTTTTCTTCGTATTTGTTTCGTGTCTATGGTAATTGCCTTGGCACATAAAATACGTATGAGTTCAATTCTTACAATTAAAAAATAATTATTAGCTACAAGTAGTAGTTGTAGAAATAAACTTACCTGGATCACCCACTAACAATAAATGGCATTGACCACGAACTCTTGTTGTATGTTTATCATCTGAGGAGGTCTTCTCTTCACTCTCAGCTATATGATTTGAACCAGTTATGACTGTCAATAACACAGCCAGTTTCACCAAGTGTAACCCATAAACCTGGTAATAGTATAATGCAAAAGTTTGTTAATACAATTAACATTAACAGAATTTATAGTTAAAAATCATATAATGAATCATTAGTAGCTTTCAAACGTTTTTAATAAATTTAAGAATTATTGCAAAATTCAACTGGACTAGAAAAAATCCCCAAACAATAGAGCCAAGTGCCAAATATGGCATTTTTATCATGTGACTTAGTAAAAGTGGCTGTAACAATATGTACAGAAATTCTTTGTTTGTAATATTCTAAATCATTAAGCAACAGAACTTTATTTTAACAATATTATTTATCTTACACATACTAGTGGCAAGAATGTTTCAGCATGTTTCACTGAAACTTTAACATTATGATTTATAAACTTTTAAGATTTACCTGTGGACACACACCACGCAATATCTGATCTCTTCCTTTCAATGGGCAAGCCTCGAATTTATTCCAGAATTCATTAAAACACTCCTTAATGTCAGGTGCAGAAGATACCACATCTGATCTTTGCGAATTACACACCTCCACATAGTTGGCTTGAAGTACTAGTTCCACTTCTGACTTTCTAGCTTGCACAGTAGGTCGCCAACGCCGTCTAACAGTACCACTAAAAAGTTGAGTAAATGGTTCATATTCCAAAAGAACAATTACTTACTTAACTACTGTAAAAAAATAATATTATTTTTCACTAGCGGCCGCCCGCGACTTCGTTCGTGTTAACTTTAGTTTTTTGAGAATCCCACAGGAACCTTACGTTTTCCCAGGATAAATAGTATCCCATGTCTCAATCCAGGTCATTACCCATATGGTATTCGGGGTTCTACAGGGGTCGGTGCTGGGACCGCTCCTCTGGAACCTCGCCTACAACTGGGTTCTCAGGGGGACGCTCTTGCCCCGAACGACGGTCATTTGCTATGCGGATGATACGTTGAGCGCTGTTCGGGGTAAGACTTATGAGGACACGGTAGGGGTCAGCAAATGCCTCGCTGGTCGTGAGTAGGATAGGAATGCTGGGGATTAAGGTGGCTGCGGTGAAAAAAGGCCCGTAATGATTTATAGCTCCAGGGGCAAGCAACCGGCCGGGGTCTATGTCGAGGTATACGAAGCCAGAGTGCCAATAGAATCCACCTTGAAATACCTGGGGTTATTGCTAGACTCAAAGAGGCGCTTTGACGCCCATTTAAAGTAGTTGGCCCTAAGGCTGATCAGTGCAGCGGCGGCACTCAGCAGGCTGATGCCGAATGTTGGTAGCCCCAGAGCCAGCTGTCGCAAACTGTACGCTGGGGTCATCAAGAGCATGGCCCTCTATGAGGCGCTCATTTGGGCAGACTGTATAGGCGCGGGGAGCTAGGCCTTATTGCAGAGGCCGCAGAGAATAGTGGCGCAAAGGGCTGCACGAGCCTACTGCACCACATCGTTTGCGGTCTCCTGCGCAATAACAGGGTCTCCCCCGCGGGCGCTGGGGGCGAAGGCGCTATCCCGCCTATACTGGAAAGGGCGGAATCCCGGCAGCGACGGGAGCAACTGGCGCCAGAGGAGGTGGTGGCCCACAGGCGGACGCTGGAGGAGCTCGTCCTGGAAGAGTGGACCGAGGAGCTCGTCCTGGAAGAGTGGACCGAGGAGCTAGGGGCACAACAGTATGGGACCAGGACCCTGGAGCCGCTCCGACCAGTGCTCAGCCAATGGAGGGAGAGGAGGCATGTGTCGTTGACCTTCCGTCTGTTGCAGATGCTGTCAGGGCACGGATGCTTTGGCAGCTACCTGCATCGCATACGGGGAGAAGCGACCCCGTCGTGCCATCTTTGTGGCGCTGTCGGGGACACGGCGCTGCACACCCTCGAGGAGTGCCCGTCGTGGTTTCGGCAGCGCCATGATATGGCAATAGGACGGGATCTCTCACTGCCCAACGTCGTTAAAGCAATGCTGGACAGCGACAGATCCTGGACTGCGGTAGTCTCCTTCTGCGAGACTGACTATTTTTCACTAGCTGTGCCCTGCTGTGTTACCCGCGGTTTATTAGGGATATTTTCCCACAGAAAAACATAGCCCATGTGTTAATCCAGCTAACTCCATACCAAAATTCATTAAAATCTCTCTAGCTGTTTAGACTTGAAGAAGTAACAAACATACACACTCAAAAACTTTCGCCTTTATAATATTAGTGTGATTAAGATTACCAGATATTAACATCATCCCCAGGTTTACAACTGTCTACAAGATCATTTTCTAATACAACCCACATGGATCCAGGTATACTTCCAATGCTCAATTTATTAACTTGCTCCTGAAATCAAAATAAAAAATCATATTAATTTAAATAGTACTAATATTATTCAAGTTTATGGAACCAAACAAGTGGGTAATAAAAAGTTGTAGGTATTTACATGAAATTTTAGTTTTTTTCTTCCTTTTATTATTACTATTCCACTTGCACAATTACTGTCCAAAAGTAACTTTTTCAGCTGATCAGACTTAAAGACTATTAGACTTATCATATATAAATTACACTAAGAGGTCTCATCAAAATTAATGCTTGTAAAAGAAACATATCGACAGTGGTAAATCAAAATTGCTTAACACTATGGTGCTGCAGAAACATTATTACTTTTTCAGTTTTTATTTAAAGTTGATTTTTAAGGGGCACCAAAGTGCCATATAAGCCACTGTGCTTTTCCTCTGTTGATATTGTAGCTCATACTATTAGAATCTCAAAGAATACTAAATATATATTAAAATGATGGCATAAATTTTTATCAGACTTGGCAATTTACTGACATCTTTGAGTGTAACCATAACAGAAATTCTTTCCAAAAACAACTCTTGTATCTTTACCTGTATTTTTATTTCTTGATAATCTTTGCAATGTTCTCTTGAAACTAAATGGACTTGTGAGAATGTTGCACATCTACATCTTATATCTACATTGGCACATTTTGATGGTGCTTTTAGAATGTATCTATTTTCAAAATCAGCCTTAACATCATTCTCAAACTTACACTTCATACAAATATACTTCCTTTTATATTCCAGCATTTTTGCTTGTGTGACTCTTACAACTGTTCCTGTAATTAATGTCAACAGTCAAAGAACTTATAATTTTCTAAGCAGGAGCAAACAATAGTGAAATTAAAACTACTAGAGTAATGTAATAATTTATGAATCCTTACCAGTTACTTTTAAAAAACATCCTAAATCTATGTTTTTTGGGAAAATAGTTCTTTGTAGCTCTGGGCACACAGGTAGTCCAAAAAACCTAGCTTGAACTTTTATTTTCAAACAATAATTCTGCAATTCTGACAATTTTTCTTTATAAATGTCTTGTTCCAATATGTTTTGTTGAGCTTTTATGATATCTTTATCACAATCAGGTAGACTTTTAACAGGATTGCAAAGAACTTTGTCACCAACATCTGGATTTGTCTCAAACAATTTCAGAAAACTATGAACAAATAATGTTAGTTATTATTTGTGCTATAAGCATAGAAGTAATAAATAATACTACTGTCTTATGCAGCAGGTCAGAAATTAACAGATATTAAAGTTATTTTACTATATATGCCTGCAGTAGCTATTTCTCTGGGCTGTTCGCAGCCAGCGGCATTCTGGGATCCTTTCCTACACATCAGTCCTTAAATTGGGTTGGGAAGACCACAAAATAGACATAATAGAATGTTATCTCATGTATGTACTTCACTTTACATACCTACTCTAGGCAGTCGCTCTAGAATTGTAAACATTGGCTAATGGACAAAAAAATATAGGTAGTGGCACCTGTATCTACTTTTTGCTTTGATTTATTGTTGAGAATAGTACAGAAAAAATGAAAATATAAACCAATAATAAATATTTTTTTTAAATTTTAATATTGTTGTATTACAAATTAGAAAAAATGTCAATTTACCACTAAATGTTAAATTGAAACATCCGTCTACTAAACAGTTACACAATTTTTTTCCCCTGGTTCGAGATACCGTGCCCGTGAGCGGTGTCTTTAGGTGCATTGCTCGAGCGCACTTTGTATGTACATTACCTTCTTCTTTTAAGTCTTTTTTGTGGGAGGACTCCCCAAGTACACTAAGCGTCATCATACAGAACTTTTCTGTAAACACTAACTCCCAGAACCACCACAGGGGCTAAACTAATTTTTAAGCGCAGAACCTCGTAGTTTCCTGATCGCTACCCATCCGAGCTGAAATCGACAAAAGATCTCTTTCCTTGACACTTACTCAATTTTTATACCATAATAACCCAAGTTATCTTCTTCAGCAAGAATTTCCAAAATATCTTTCAGATGATATTTTAAAATATATTCTAAAATCATAATGTTTATAAAGTTTATTCACAGCAAAGAAATCTCAAAGAAACGATTAAAAACAAAACAATTTATCATATCAATGTCAATTGTCTGTCAAGCAGTTCTTTTTTTTAAGATTTTCCCGTTTTAGGGAAGGCAAAGGGAACAATGCCCATACAGTCTAGTCTTATATTAATCTTCTTTCTTGTTGTGAGTGTTTGGTACAAAATGTATCGAGTTGATTTTTTCGATAAGCTTCTGTGAGGTAGTCAATACTGTAATGAAGTGCCTACGTCCACTTGACCGGAATAGCGTATATTTTAAAGATATCACTAATTCTTCAGTCGCGCAGACGGTTGTAACACAAAATTATAGCAATTTTATTTCACAATATCCACTATGAACGAATTTGAGATTTATTAAATTAAGACGCCAACCGCACTCGACTAAATCCCGCCAAAAACTCGACAATCTTATGTTGGACTATATAGGGATGTGATTTTGCGTATGAAAAGTCGATTTAAAAAAAAAAATATCTCTTATCTATTAGACAAGTCCGTCCGTCCGTCCGTCTGTCTGTGGTGCTGTCAGCGGCCAAACCGTAAGAGATAGATAAAGAGAATGTTTAAGTTATAAGTTACGAATAGTCTGATAAGATTACAAACCGGATTTGAGTAACGTAGCACTTCCGGTTTTCGAGAAATCACGAATTTCAAACGAAACCACACAAAATCTCCGAAGTTCTCAATTAATTAAATACATTTTTTTTAAATCAGGTTTTGGTGAACATTTGGTTCACTGGTTTGCTAGTTAATTAATAATAAACTCAATGAATTCAATTTTTCATACAAACTTTCATCCACTTTTTTTATCCCACATGGGTTAGAATTTAAAAATCTAGATATATGTTATTCATCATTTCTGATCTCAAGCATAAATACTGAGTTTTGAGTTAATCGAATGAGCGTTCAAAATTAATTTTCGGCAACCTCCAGTTCTCCCTTTCGGGGTAGTTTAAGCAATCCAAAAATGGCAATCTTTTTAATTTATTTAGAGAAGCTTTAATTCTTTTTACTCAAATAATAAGATTTTTCACCTTTATACCCTCTTAGGGGTAGATTTTCGAAAAAGCCTGGTACACGTTATTTTATTTCTGGTCTTCAGTAAAAATGACAGTTTCGGTTTAATCGAAATGCGCGTTAAAATTCATCCATATAAAAACTTCGACACCCTCCCAATCCCCTTTAAAGGGGTAGTTTAGGAAAACTGAAATTGGAGTCTCTAGACCTAGCGGTTTGGGCTGTGTGTTGATATGTCAGTCAGTTTTTTCTTTTATATATTTAGATAAAAGAAGATACAGACTGAGGATGCATTAGTTTTAATAGTTCCAGATATTTTGTTTGTATCGTTTATCTTCCCAGATCTTGAACTAGTCAACTTGGCTGAAACTCCTCGTAAATGCTCGTCACCCAGTATAAAGATTCTGGGCTTACTTTTTTCGTATTTTTCTTTTGTTGTCCGGTTTAAAGTTATTGTTTTGTTTGTATTCATTGGTTTTGTTGTACCTTGCCCAATTATCTTTGTTTCTTGAATGATGACTGACTTGCTCGCTTGCAGAGTAAATGAAACAAAGGCTGATTTTGCGATAAAGTCATATTATAAGTACTTATTGTCGCGACGGTCAAATTTGACCAAGTCGTGAAATGTAAATATTGGATATGGCAACAACAACCTATAATCTGTGGTGAGTAGCATTGAACCGATATTAAGTACTTACTCTGAGGTCCGTAACTCCGCGGTTTTTTACTTGTCAAAAAAGTTTCTTTTCTATTTCGACTCTGGCTGAAAAGTGTGCTGTTTACGAGATTCTGAATATGAGAGCTAAGTATCTTCCCCGAGTTAATTACTTACTATTTATTGTTCATTAATGTGTATTATGTGATTTCACGTGTCGATTGGTCAGTCGGAAGAAAGACTTAGGTACTTATATTAAGAGCAGTACATTCGTAACATAGATCGGCGATTGTACTGGCGAACGCTTGCGGGTGTTGCGCAGGATGTTAGCGAGAAGAATGACTTACCTATAATACGAGCAGTACAATTGTAACATAGATTGGCGATTGTACTGGCGATCGCTCGCGGGTGTAGCGCGGGGTGTTAGTCAGAGTGCACTTGACTGACATACAGTTTGTCTAATAAGTCGTGACATTAAATGATGGCGCCTCTAGTATGCATGTAGCAACCCTGTACTGTCGCACCGAAATGATTTTGATACTAGCAGTTCATTCAAGTAAAATAGATAATTAAGACACACTATACAGTCGTATTTTGTTTCTGTTTTATATATAGTAGGTACCTATGCTTATAAAAGGTTTAGCCAAGCATATTTAATTGAATCAGGATAAAATTATTATAAATAAAATAGTACTTTATAGTGTAAAAGTGTAATGTTGGTGATTACCGCTGAGGTGCCATTGAGACCAGAGCCGTTAGGTAATCATCAATAAACACAAATATCATCATACGACGTTTTTTAACACACTTGTTAAGAAAATAATACTAAAAATCATTTTATAGCATATAAAAAGTTTATTTAGAGAAACAATTTGTAAATGTGCAGTTGGTAAAATTAGTGATAGGTATCTTCACTAAAAGCATCTGGCCATGTTTCTTTATGTGACCATTTCTTTCTTTGGTCGGCCTTGCCTATTTTCCCAGGAGTTTCAAACTTTCCATCATTCTTAAAACCTTCGTTGACTATCCGACTCTCTGATTTTCCTGAAAAAAAGGAAAAAAATATGTAACGGAATAGAAACAATAACTTATTCACATAAAGCAATTAATTCAAAATTGGTAGAAAACCTGACCGAGTTGAACCATAATAACGTATCAAAAGAAATGGTCGTACTACAATATTACCTATTTAAATGTCAATGTAACCTAAAAATGTGCAATGTAAACAATGCCTTTTTTGGTCTCAAAATCGTAAATTGAGTAAATTTGTAACTTCAGGCAGATTGCAAACAAATAGTTACAAGATTACATACCCGTCATAAATGCTGTTCGCCCATAAACATCATCCAAATCCCACAAAATTCGTCCAGCTTGGTAGTCTTAGAAACATCGATAGAAAACTTTAAAAATCACTTCCCGCGTGTCACTTCAATTTACTTTACTCATTTTTATACCTTTCTGTGTAGTTTCGTCTTAATTTATTACAGTTTAATCCAAACAATAAGAAATACAAAAGGAAAACTGTTCCACAACTGAAACTCGATGACAGCTGATGTACATAAGTTTGGTGTTGCCAGACACATGAATAATGTTAGTTCCTCAAACATTCATGTCACGACTTTGTAGACAAACTTTACCGGGAGGCCAAGAGAGTGTGTGCGAGGGCTGCTCGGCACACCTTGGTTCCACGATGAACAAGGGAGGCCAAGAGAGTGTATGCGACTGCTGCTCGACACACCTTGGCTCCATGATGAACAAGGGAGGCCAAGAGTGTATGTGCGAGGGCTGCTCGAAAATCCTTGGCCTCATGATGAACAAGGGAGGCCAAGAGAGTGTGTCGGAGGGCTCGACACACCTTGGTTTCATGATCAAAGGCTTATGATAATCAAACAGGACACGCTGAAAGTGTCCTATGCCAATCATGAAATGTTATGTAAATTGAGTTTAAAATCGGCGTGAATGCATATGTGAATATTGATGTGTGTGAACATATAACGTATAGGTATTACTCTGGGCGAGGAAGATGCTTAGTGTCTCAACTCAGAGATTCATAGTATAATTTCCTTATACAGGTTCCTTGATGATCTTCACAATTGACGATGGGAATAAATTGAACTAAGCGAAGCAGATATCTATAGCAAATTTAACACAAGATAGAATAAGGTATGAAACTTTGATATAACTTGCACTGGATGTTTAAATTGTTCAATGCCGAAAGTGTGAATAATCGCAGTCTGTCTCAGTCCATTGTACACCCTGTTGGTGTGGGTTGTAGGCAGATGATGAGACATGTGTGGTTCTGTGTGATTTCTGGTTGAACCTCTAAAGTACTTCATTGCACTAGGTATAAAGATAGATTTAGACAACCACGCAGAATGCCCCACAAGTCTCGTCGCGACACTTATCTTTTACAAAGGTTCGGATATTCGTAACTCCTCTACACAGCCAATGGATCCTACTATAAGTTAGCCAAAGGTTTTAAAAATCTAATTCCGATGTGACCCATCGAAGTTAATAGACTTTTAAAATAATCAGTTATTTTTTCACATCCTTATTTGTCAAAAAAATTAAAAAACTATATTTTTGGCTTCGGTTTCGATTGTAGATCACACACACCCCAAGTATTCTTTAAAAAAAAATGGGTGCGTGTACTTATGTAGGCGCGTGAGAAGTTATCCTTCTTTGGCATCGTTTAAAATTAGTTTTTAATTGCATGCAAATAATTAATTACCATAAGTTAATAAAAAGTCTGGAAAAGGACACAGTCAATAAAGTTCAGTTTTAATTTGAAAAAATAAATAAATAATCAAAATATTCAATAGGGAAGATGCAATATTTTTATTTTTGTATTCATTTTAAAGAATTCCATGTAGAATTAACCACAGATATATTAAAAAATTAAAACATTGTGATTTATCGGAAAAAATGCGGTTTGAAATTGACAATTTAAATTTTCGCGCGAAAACGAACCTATGGTTGCGATGACGTCACTCCTGTCTGTCACTGGTCGTAATTGTTCGTTGCTGGCTTTAAATTTTCATACTTTTGCATATTTTTTCGACTTTCGAAATATTTTTTTGAAAAATTTAAAATGGACTATCCATCAACATCATGTGATCATAACAATACCACTAATATTCCGAAAAAAAGCCGTGTTGACCCATGTTTTGTGCCAATGTACTTCACCTTCACAATGTACTTCACAAAGTTAGCACATAAATTGTTTTTAACTGGAACTTCTGACCCAAAACTGAAAAAAAAGTGGTTTCAAACTGCGAAGAGAAATGACAATTATTCTCCAAAGACCATTATTCGATGCTGAGAAGATCACTTTGACGTAAGTCGGCGAATATACTTGTTATATGCTTAATTAATCTGCTTGCACGTAAAAACGCATTAGTAACCTACCTAATACTTACAAAACCTGTCTATAACATATTTTTAATTTTACAGTTGGAGAATGACGTCGAAAATTAGATAAAGTTTAAAATGTGTAGCACAATCTTCACATTGGCAGGACTGAACCAAGCTTTGCGTTTCATTTAAAATAACTGTAACACGATAACCTTCTTTACGTACTTTATGCTCCGGAGAACTCGACCTTTTACTGTACATAATTTTCCATCTCTTTTAATTTGGACATAGCCGATTGCATTATCGCCGTAAGATTAATTTGTAGAAGCCGCTGAATAAAATAAGAAGTTTAACAACTACGATTTTTGCATACCGTAGTAATTTAGTCCCTTTCATTTCTACACTTAAAAACTCTGCACTTTGGACAAAAAAAGTTATAACCATGTCAACGCTAACTCTTGGTAAATTCCTGGAGTCTGCTTTGATAAACGCAACTTCCATTTTTATTAAATGTAAAAAAACGCAATAAATATTCCCATAAAATAATATTTACTTTAACAACCATAACCTCAAAGAAGTTGTCATAACAGGAGTGACGTCACTAAACACTGAATGGTGTTTTAAAATACGTTCCGTTTCAAGTATTTTTAATTCGTAATAATTGTTAAAAAACAACATTATGTAAAATAAAAACGTTGCGGTGGCATTTCTTTTATATTTTTCTAACATTTTAATCATAAAATTTTCGTAAATATTATATATGCATCTTCCCTATTAAAATCGCTACTGAATATAATTTATTAGAACATATGTGATTTGCACTTGTATGAAACTCAAACACGTATTCCGAATATACAAACTAGAAACATGTGGATAAATATTATAAATATGAATACCTATAACTGTTACTTTATTACAAAAAATAAAGATGTGGTTTTTGGTTCTACTACAACAATGGTCAAGAGATGGCGCTGTAGTCTCCTGAATCGCGCTTTGGTTCCGTTGTTTCAGATTAATAAATACTTTTGATAGGCCTTCACAATGCAGTCGTTAGCACCCACTAAATAGAGATTTTATTTCTATTTTGTTGGTAGATTTTCTTAATGTGCGGTAATTTTTTGTGTTACAGTGATGCGCGCGCATCTTAAAATTTCACTCTCATCATTTTTTCATAACGCGCCTAAAGAAGTATAACTTCAAAATTCAATGTACAGTTTTGACTTTCCTACCATTTTATTAAGTGTATAGATTAGACTAAGTACGTAGGGTCGAAACTTGGGCCGAAGTAGAGAAATTCACAGACGTAAAACCAAGGTTGCCAGGTCTCCAGATTTAACAGGAGATCTCCTGTTTTTCATTTCATACATGAATCTGCTGTTTTTCTTAGAATATGTTTTTTTGGAAATAGCATGTTGAGTTGCGTTTTTTGCCGTTAAGAATGTAGGTAGCCTTAATTATAATAAAATAAATGTTATTGTCTACAAAAAAACAACAAACTTTGAGGGGCGGCTGAAGCCACAGAAACATATTTATTACTGGCCTATATCTTGATTTGATTAACCGATTCTAGGGGGGGGGGGTGTAATTGGGAAAAAGTACGCCTTTGCATGTACTGTTTTTTCTTGTAGCTCTTTCTATACATCTACTGTTTTTTTTTTATATAACGCCTCCATATTTTTTAAAATAAGACCTGTCAACACTGCGTAAAACTTAAAAAAAAAGAACATTCTGATTTTTATTTAAGTACATGGCTGAAGTCATGAATAAGTAAAAGAAAAAAACTTAAAAAAAATGAGTTAGTTTAAACTTAGCCTTGAGATAACTAATGATGAGGTCCCAGACCTTAGCCTGTCCGAAAGGACAAACGAAAAAAATTAATACTCTGTGAGTAAAATAAAATGTATGTGCGGAAAGAGAATGGGATTTCGATTGGAGGGCGCTGTAGTGCTTTTCTACCGTATTTGTAAGGTTTTACCCCTTTTAGACATGATTAAATACAAAAAACCGCAAGAAATCACAACAACAAACAAATCCATATCAATACAAAACTTTGACGTTTTACAGATTACTGGGTTTGATTGCTAATTAAAAATCCTAATGTTAGTTCCGTTTTTCGCCACGCGCATTCTTTTCCCGCACAGACTCTAAAAGTATTTTATTTTACTTACAGACTATTTTGACTTGACATTGGCTGAACGCACAAACCGTGCTTGGCACAAAAAAGAAAAAAAAAGGAAGAAAATAAAATTGAGTTTTTGGCGGGATTTCATCGAGCGTCTTATTATAATTATTCTGAAATTCGTTCATGTGGATATTGTGAAACAAAATTGGTGTGATTTTGTGTTACAACTGTCTGCGTAACTGAAGAATTAGTAGAAACTTCAAAATATACGCTATTCCGGTCAAGTGGACGTGAGAATTTTATTGTAGTATTGACTATCTCAAAAAAGCTTATCGAAAAAGCCAGCTCGATACATTTCTTGCAAAACACTTCAAAAAACATTAGAATGCGTCACACCGATATTCTAATGTAAAAAGAAAAACAGAATAATTTAACTTAAAACTAGGTTGTATAGACATTGTTCCCCTTGCCTTCCATGAAAAGGGAGAACTTATCTTAAAAAAAAAGCAAATTAAAATAAAATACACGAAGTTGCATTTATGTACAAACAAAATAAGGATTAGTTGAAAAGTAAACCAATGGATATATTAAAGGCAGAAATTGCTAGAAAAAGAAAACTTCTTGAAGAAAAAAAAGTGCTTGTAAGTTTACCTGAAACGTTTTACCATCTCTTCGAATTTTAACATAATAATATTTTTAACTGTTTCACATTTTAGGATCCTAACAAGAAATATTTTAAACGTGGTGAATTACTTGCAAAGGAACAAGAAGAATATTTCAAGAAGTATGGTCAACAAAACGAAGTCACAGAAAATGAAAATATTAAGAATGATAAAACGCAGATAAGTATGTTAGAGATTTTTATAAGTTAAGTTACGTGTTAGTGTTTAGTACGTACGTTTTGATAAATATATAAACAATTTTATAACCTGTTAATATCCTTTTACTTATAACAATTGAACTATTCATCCAGTTAGCAAACAAGAACAGAATGAGATTGATCAATCAGAATCCGTGACTTTACCAAGAACAGAAGTGATTAAAAGACTAAGAGAAAGAGGCCACCCTATATTGGTGTTTGGAGAAAATGAAGTGCAGTCATTCAGAAGACTAAGAAGGATAGAAATACAAGAACCAGAAGCAAACAGGGTAATATAGATTGTTAATATTTGAGGAGCTAAATTAAATAAGTTTACTATACACAATATATATCTATCGGAGCTTCCCAAAGCTAACTTGTGTATTCACATTAGGGTTGCCAGATTGTTGGGAATAGTCTGGATTCTCCTGATATTTTAAGTAATCTCCAGAATCCTGACAAATCTGACAAATAACAAAACCTTCCTACTAAACTTGACATCATGTAAATACTTGCCACAAAAGTAATAACAGAAACGCATGACTCTGACAACAAAAATAAAAATCTGAAAAAATGCTAATTATTTGTGTTGTGGTAAAATGTATACAATTATGTTATTGTTGAACGTTTTGCCACAAGTATTTGTTATTGCTATTGACAGAATTAACCAGTTGGGTTGATTATGATTCTACAAGAAAGAAGCAAGCATATTTACATGGGAAGAGCTCTCGGAACTGCCTCAATATCTCAAAAGATATTGATATAATTATATAAACAATACTGCCGTCTTCAGAAAGATATTTAATTAACTGCCAAAGGACATGCCTGATGAAAAAATTTTGTTGCTGATTCCTGTGGGCAATGCTAATGTGAAAGAGTATTTAGTTTGTTAAATAGTTTATATACTAAAGAGAGGAATTATATGGCCTTTGATTTGATAAAAGCTGAACTACATATAGAACTCAATTTTGCGCAACATAACAAAGGGATCAAGATTTTAAAATACACCCCTGTCTCCATACAAAAACCCCAAAATCCAGACATTTTATGAAATTCTCCAGATATTTTGACTTTTTGATCTGGTAACCCTAATTTACATAGAAAAAAGAACTGTTATCATGACTTATCATCAACTTATTGGATTTTAGGATATTTTTGGTTTTTCATAATTTAATTGTTTTATGTTATACAACATCAATATATTTTTTTTGTTTTTCAGGGCTTACGCAATGATTTTCAAGAAGCTATGGATGAAGTTGACCAAGCATATCTCAATGAAATTTTAGCTCTCGGTACCCAGGTAAGCTTTTTAAGGTTCCATACCCAAAAGGTGACTGACATCCTTTTACTTAGCCTTTATTGTTTGTATCATGACATTGTTGTACAGTGAAAACCCAGTAAATCAAAATTTTTGCTGTCAGTATAAATTGACTCATTTTGTCATATTAAAATCCACTAATCCATTGTGTGTAAAAATTATTATCACAATAATGTTTTAATGGAAAAACATCAATGGATATTCGCAGATGAAAATCTCATTTGATTTGTATTATCAATCATTTTTAGATTACTATAGCCACCATGAGAGAAAATTATAAAAAAAAATAGAAAAAAAAGAATGCAGGGGGCCTCAATGCCTCACATAAGCAACTTGACTGTTTTCATATTAAACTTTAATAAAAACTCAAATATAAAATCTTGCCTGCTGTTATCCTAATAGATGTCTTTCGATTTTATGCACCTGATTTTCAAAGTTTGACCATCATAAATAATTATTTCGATTCATACAAAATTATACAACAGTAAATTTTCTTTATGCGCATGGATAACAGTACATCAGAATGTTATATATCTTATCTCACATGTTTATGCAAATATCTTGGATAAGGATCATCTGTCACAGAAATCATAAGAAAAATATTTAACATTGAAATTATGTGTATTTAGATAAAATAATAAATATGTTTCCAATCAAAGATGATTTTCAATTTTACATAAAAGGCTAAACAATTCTAATATTTTGAACATATGTAACTACATATTTATCTGCTACCGATCTAGGCAAATGCCAGTATTACTGCATACAGCGCTAATTGCCTTAGTACTTATAATATCATGAATCACAAGATAATCATGTCTCTTTACAATTTCAGAGTGAAAGTGAAAAGTCTGCAAAAGAAGATGCTATGGATGACCAGATTACTTATGAATTTATACAAGAAATGGCCCAGACAATGGGACAAGGGGACAGAAATCATGACATGAATGTCATTATGACTCTATTGCAGGTAAGATCTAAAAGTCATCAAATATTATTTATACTTGTTCTGAGAGCACTTGTTGTATTAGATGTCATTATTTAAGGATATAAGATTTTATTTATTAAACAATATTTGGTTTATACTGAAACCCAAGCACGAATTATTTTGTGAGCTCCAAAATCGTATCGCCCATCACGTCTTTCCATACTATGCAGGCAGCTATAGGAAACTGCTCACGTATATATTGTAATGCTGTTTTGAAATCTGTGATTACAATGCATACGATACATGTGATTGACGACCTCAGTAGTCGAGTGGTTTATACGCCGGGTTTCATGGTGTCGCGGACTCGAGAGGTCCCGGGTTCGAATCCCGGCGGGGGCAGATGTTTGTGTGATGAATACGACCATTTGTACTCCAGTAATGGATGTTTTAATATGTATATCTATATAAATATACTTATATATGTACAGTATATGTATTCTATCCGTTACCCTAGTATCCCATAACACAAGCCTTACAGTGCTTACTTTGGGGCTAGGCTAATTGGTGTGTATTAAAAAAAAAAATTGTACACAAATTTTTCATACTGATTGTGTATATTTTGTATAATAATAGTAATAGTTTAGTTTTCATAGAAACTTTGACAATGCGTTACGATTATGGAGCTGTCAATGTCGTGCTTGGGCTCTGGAAAAGAAAGATGCATTTATCTGAAGATAGTTGCTTGATCTAGTTGAAAACATTGATGGATCTGTTATATAAACACATAAAATTTACAACTTAAAATTAATAACGCATCCTTTATATTTTGTTTTTTAAGCATTTTAGCTTTTTTAAGCTTTAGTTTTTAACAAATCCTGTACTAAAAGCTGAAGTACATTTCAAGTTGAATTACCGACATTCAAAGTTTGTGCCTACCGGAGTAGTAAACAGCAACTCAGTTCTGTTTGAAAAGCATGGTACTGACTTTAAATGTTGTTTTCACTTAAGATTTAAGTAAAGGTATGTTTAAATTTCTTTTGTGGTCATGGTTATTATTGTCAGGTTTTTTGAGGAGGTTTGATAGCACAGGTGGTTAGCGCATTCGACCTGCGATCGTGAAAGTTAAGCAACTTTTACAATGGTCGGTCATTGGATGGATAGCCAAAAACTTATTATCTCGAACTCCTGCGCGCTTCGGAAGGCACGGTTAAGCCGTTGGTCACGGTTCAGTCTCACTATTCCAGCCATGTGGCTCTGCCGTGTTGACATTAATAGGTTGATGATGTAGATTAAATTTTTATTATTGTCAAAAATGATTTTATTTTTCCATTTATACAAATCTGAGCAACTAAAAGCTGGCTAAACACTTATAGAAGAAGCCAGCATTCTGTTACAATTCAAAAAATAAAAAAACGGGTTATCCATAACGACCTCCGTGGCCTTGTGGTTTGTACACCAGTTTTCATGGTTGGTTCGATCGTACTTTATGGATGACCATTGAATTTTATTGTTTATTTCTGAAAGTACATCTCAGATATTCTTTTTTATGCTCGGTAGGACCAATAAAAACAGGGCCATTTGTACAAAAAAAAAAATATTAAAGAACATTTTAAATCAATACACTTATATTGAGGATGTTCCCTTTGAATTCGGAAAAATACATAATAGGACCAGTACCCTTAGCACGAACTAATATCGAATTACAATAGTTTGCGTGCGAAATGTCGATGTCACACTTTGTATGGAAACTAAAGTCAATAGTCTAAACAATTGAATTTCTATTACTAGTTTCTTCTCAACATGTGGGGCCAACAACTGAATTCTGCTACTGCTGCTGAAAAGACAGCTGTCAAACACAAAATGACGCGTGCAACATACACACAGACACAAGTGTATTTGAGACCATTGATGAGGAAACTTAAGAAGAAAACTTTACCAGAAGACATCTGTGACAGTCTCATGGAAATTACAAAGCACTTGTTGGAAAGAAACTATATCATGGTATTTATTTTAACTTGATATAATATGCCACAGTCATATGATTGGTTAAATTGGCCAGCTAATTGGATGCCTAGGCTTATCATTTAACACCGCCATCCGATTTGATGCATAGCGATAGTTTAATCAATAAATTTGTATAAAACCAAGCCATGTGATACAAAATTATTAGAGTTTTTTCCACCGTGGCATTAGTAATCGGCAAAACAAAGCAAACTTAAATAAACATTACAAGGTCATCCAATTTAACTAAATGACTACATAACGTTCAAATATTTTCGTTCCTTTTAATTATTGCGCTCAATGACTTGGCTTATTGTTTTCAGCCATTTCTTTGGATGCCAGCGTTTAATAATAGCTACCCTAGTTGTCCCTTTGGCGGGCTAATTTAACCCAATGGACAAGAAATCTGCAAAATTTGGTCACTAGGGGCGCTGTAATCGCTTGACCCAAAACTTTTATCAAATACATACCTATTAGCTAATATTCATTTTTAAGATTTTTACTAAACAAATTACAAATGCCGCATTGTGCAGTTCTTGGTTGTTGTAAGAAAACTGCATGCTTACAGACTAAAATATAATTTTATATGTTTCTTTGAAAGGGGCGGTAAAACTGAGCTGCTGTTTACATCATGGTATGTATCTGGGGCAGGTAATTGCATTTGGATGTCTTCAATTTGATCAGAAAAAACTGCACCAAAATTAAAATTTGCGGTCTTATACCTAGAGACTGTAAAAAAACCCAATGTTATACTTCCCATTTTAGCCCGAGGTAACCTAACTCTATGAGATATCTGACTGATGCAAAAATAAGATAGATTTGACAATTGAGCACGCCAAAAGTTACTAAGATCCATGAATTATTAAAATAATCATGGAAAATGCATCTATGTACCGAGAATGAGAATTCTAGCAAAATCATAGAAAGAGTACCTTTCTACTAGATCAGCTTTTCTGCCGTGCATAGATGCTCCTCTCCTTTTCAACTCTGTTTTCAGCTTTATTACAGACCATGTTGAATACATCTTCACCACTTATTTAATATATTTAACAATAAAAAAACACGTTCAAAATTTGACAGCTGCAATATTCGGCTGTGGTTTGGGTCAAGCGTTTGCAGCGCCATCTATGTCGAGCTTTGCGTATACTTCTCCATTGCTGCGACATATCATTATTCAATAATAAAATAGGTTTACTTTTATAGTTCAGAAATAGTTTTAACATTTTTTTTTCTTTTCACAGGCAAGTGATTCATATCTTCAAATGGCAATAGGAAATGCCCCATGGCCTATTGGTGTCACTATGGTTGGTATCCACGCCCGTACTGGCAGAGAGAAAATCTTCTCTAAGAACGTAGCGCACGTAATGAATGATGAAACACAAAGAAAGTATATTCAAGCATTGAAGAGACTTATGACAAAGTGCCAGGAGTATTTCCCCACAGATCCTTCAAGATGTGTCGAATATAGTACAACTAGCTAATAAAATATTAAAATATTATTTGTTCTTTTTTATTCTAAAGTTGATTTTGGAATTCTAGTAGCACATGCATGCCGTCCCAAATTTTATCAAATTTAAAACTGCTACTTTAGCACGCCTCGCCGAAGGATAGTTTTACCCTAGAAATCATCCTCCAAAGTGATGAAACGGGGGGTGAAACTACGCTATAGGGCGGGAGTACGTGTTCTTTCGTTGCTTGTAAGGAACTATCACTCTTTGTATTGAAACACGCGTAGTGCAATATACTGAAAATTCGCAGTGCAACATACTTTCGTTGCTTGCTAGTAACTATTTCTCTTTGTATTGAAACACGCATAGTACAACATTCATGCAGTGTTGCAGATCACACGCCTACATGCAGATTATATATATATTTTTTCAATTTTTGCGACATAGTATCCATATGTGGTTATGAGTAGTCATGCTCTTTTAAAAATCTCTTCGAAGGTGTCGTGTGAGGCGGGTCGTTGCGTTCCCTAAAAAATGGTTGAGCGAAGCGATGGCTGGCCCATGCATCATGCTCGTGAACGGGTGCTGCCAGCGGAGATGCTACATTGGGTACTATTAATCGTTGTATTTAACATTAATCGTTAATTTTTTTATGCCTAAACAGTAGAACACGGCATTGCTAACACATTCCTAAACTTTGTTTAACCATTTTTTTATAAATATTTTTTTATACATAATTTTTATATTATTTATATTTGTAATGGAAATTGACTTAATGAGTTACCTCATATTGAAGTAATTTTTCAATTTGACGACTTGATAATACAGGGAGAAAAAAACAGCCTAGCTGAGTTTCTTGCCCGTTCTTCTCAGTACAAGGTCTCCCGCCGCGCCGTAGATTTGCTAACCGATGGCGTAGCTTTTCGACATTCACAAGTGCTTGTTATTTTTTTTTATTGAAACACCCACGCTCGAGGGTTCGGGGCAAAACTCAAGGTATGGCAGACCGAGTCTACGCACTACGCCTGCTTCAATACAAAGAGGTACTCCCGCGCTACGCAGCGTAGTGCGTGGCACTGTGAGAATCGCTAATGCAACACATCTTTAAAGTTCTATTATTACTCACTAGCAGTAGTGTAACACTTATTTTTTTAACTCGTTCAAGCATGCGTTTACTTTGCTACACCAAAAGTAATAAAGTCGAAATTCGATATTATACTAGCGCTTCTTGTGCTGAGTGGCTAGAACTTTAATGGGTGACTTCAGTGCAGCATTAGTGGCTTAAAATAAATAACATATCTATGAGTGGCATTGGCAAAGATTTTGAGTAAAATATTAGGCAAAAACCAGCGTAAGAAGTCTAAGCTTCATCATCATCAGCCTGTTCTATTAATTTTCCCACTGCTGGGGCACAGGCCTTCCCTATGGATACAATGATGTGGATATTGGATCGTGACCCACCACTGGTGCTAAAGACTGCAGGTGCAGCCGGGACCTACAGCTTAAAGTGCCTTTAGATGCACGGAGGAGCTCAAGATAAAAGTTTTTGGTCACCCATCGAATACCTGACCACTGCGAAAGAAGCTTAACTTTCAAAACCGCAGGCTGAACGCGCAAACCACCTAAGCCATCGAGCTGGAAGCCCAGGAATTTCACAGGTTCAGTTAATTTGAAAATTACAGTTACTTTTCATTAAGTTTATTCATGATTATATGAAATAAAGGAATGGACCCAAATATAACCCTGTGGAACATTACTTTCGGCTGATATTAGTGTCGATTCTGGCAGGATTCTCTTAAACTTAAATTTGACAACAGTGTATCGTTGTCATTCTCCATACAGAGACTGATGCTAAATTTAGTGTTGAATCTAGAGAATCATGCCAGAAACGACATCATTATGTCGTTAAATTCAACAGTTGCATCTTATATTTCTGTTTTATCAGACTCTGTTAAGCTGTATTTACGTTTAATAGTGATTTATATTCCGATTAAACAGATTAATTACCAAAGATAATGATAACGTTACATACGTAGGTAGGACATGATAACATTAACAGTGATATACGAATATTGTTTTTTCTTAGTATTGTGCACATTAGTTATGACCTAAGATCAGTGAAATTAAAATGAATGCTGCAGTAGTTTTGACATTAATTTTATTTGGTACTCATGGTGAACTAAGTGACGGTAATGAATTAACTTATAATACAGAATAAATTTAACTTTATGCAGTGCCATTAAATGTACCTGATATATATTTTGTTTTATAAACAGCGGCTACAACGCGTATTGTGGGTGGTCATGAAGCTCCTTTGGACTACGGAAGATATCACGTTTCCCTTCAAAACCTAACTGGTCATCATGTATGTGGTGGTGCAGCCGTTTCCAGATTTCACGTGGTTACTGCAGCTCATTGTGTATTGGGGTAAGAACATTCAGACAACCCGTAGGCATTTTCCTTGATTTACACCTAGGTGGTATAGTTTCGAGCGATATAATTGAATTAAAATATTTATTTTTAGAGCTGAACCTCAGTATATCAAAGCTTCAGTAGGAACAACCAATTTAGACTTTGGAGGACAACAGTACAACGTCATTTCAATAAAGATTCATGAAAAATACAACACCACTTCGAGAGAGAATGATATAGCGATAATTACAGTGGAAAAACCATTTGATTTAAAGTGTGTCGAAATATTAAAATTATATGATAATGAACTGATGAATGGAGACGAAGTAACTTTAACGGGCTTCGGCGCTGAAAAGGTGAGTTTTTGATTAGAAACTATTAGAAGCAAATGAAAAAAGAAAGTAGCTGATAGACCAATTTAGAGCAAGTGGTGTGTGTGTTCTTTTTTGCCAAAACCGTAAAAACAGTTAATTAAGTATTATAAGTGTTTACGCATCATGCGAGTAAGTAGGCTGTATCTATACTTGTTAAAAAAATAAACAAAGCTTATTTAATCATATCTTTTCAATCATTGTGCAACTCAAGCTGATATAAATAACATGCCAAGGAATCTTATGTTGAATACCTAAAACTAAGGGTTTCGCCAAGAGGAGGCAGGGGGAGGCAGCTGCCCCCCCTCCCTCTAGACAAAAAATATTTATAGCCAAATGGAAAGTAACCAAACCAAACCCCCTACACTCCCCACTCTCACTGTCTTTCTTTTAATACTCCATTCTTTTCCCTGGCAGTATCTTTAGCAGCCGGGCTGAGAAACTAGCTTGTAAAAATAAAACTACCGAAACAGACACAACAACGAAAATGAAAAACAGAATATAAAAAATGCTATTGTTTTAAGAATCTTAATGCAAATAAAACTTTTAAAGGTTTTTACATAGCCTTAATTTTTTTCGGATCTCTGAAAAAATTGTACCCACAATAACAGCGTATGCGGAATTTTTACACCGACATTCAGTAATTGATATAAAATAAGAAAAAAGTCCTTGCTCGGCTGGGAATCGAACGCGGGTCGCTCGCGTGGTAGGCGAGCTTTCTACTACTTTTTGTGGCGATGTTATAAAAGTATCACTTCAAAAACAATTCTGCTTCTTGCATTCCAATCCCAACTGAGTTAAGACCACTTCAAGTGCGAAGCTTCATCTAGGCACAATTCATACTTTTACACCCTTCATTTATGTATATGAACTTACCAGACACAGGCAGGGGCGTATTTTATAATCCGGCGCCTCCACATAAGATTTGCACCAAAGCTTAGCTGGTTTCAGCCACCCGTTTTTGGTAGGGTATTGCCCCATAATGTCCTTCCTTCCAGCTACGCCCCCCCCCCCCCCCCCCGGCCATAGGCTGGCGACGCCCTGGACTACAACAACAATACAACGTGATGATACAATAATATAATTCTCATGATGGGGCAAAACCCATAAACGCAATTGTACAGCGATGCGAACGCATAGTTTCGAAAGTTTTGCGTTTTTAGTAAAAACATATAGGTTAATTCATGAGCTCAGTGAAAAATAAAATTTTGTAGTAACTTTATCTGATTATGCACTAGCGCTCTCAGCAGCCTCCCTGGCACCCTTCATTACCCGAACAAAAACAATATTGCAACATTTTGCCTTTCTTCGTGAGAATTGACATATTTTTACAAAATATCACTATTTTGCTGTGCACCACTGAAAGTGCTGTCCTCGCCGTGCTAAGACACTTATCAATAGCGTTCTTTATGGAGCCTAAAATAATTTGAATTCCTCACAAATCTTCCAGCCTAATGGGGAGTCCAGTCGCATAATGCACCTGCTGATATTGCCAGTTTTCCCTCAAGAAATATGTCGGTACGCTATGCGATATAACAGAGAGGTCTTTGATAGCATGTTCTGTACGTTCACACGGATAGGTGAAGGAACTTGTCACGTATGTATATCATTTTATTTCCTTAAGATAGATACTATATAAAATGAAAACCATTGTTTATCTAAAATGATCAAATCATATTTTAATTAATATTCGTTTCAGGGTGATTCCGGTGGACCACTGGTAATAAACAATCAACTAGCTGGATTAGTATCATGGGGCATTCCTTGCGCCATGGGTTTCCCCGATGTACATACCAGAATAAAACCATACATTAATTGGATCAACAAATATATTTACTTAGTTAAATGCTAATCTAAAAGAGAACATAAATCTGGCACTACAAGCAAGCATTTTGTGTTGTGCAGGCATTTCAAATGACTGTTCGCATTTGCCGTAAGTAATTCTTTTTGTTCCTTTTCATTCCCTAACTGATCATACTGCTATCAAGTATGTATCAAATTTAGTTATGGCGAATAGTTATAGCCAATATGAAGTGCTCAGCCTTACACCAAATTGATGATTGTGTGCTGTATGATATTATTTTATTTGGATCCTTACATAGTATATTTTTTTACCTTACATATATATTGTGTTTTAAACTATTAACTTTTTTATAACACAAATACTGACGAAATACAGGGACTATAAATATATTATGACTTTAATTTATGTAACCTAGTTTTCGATAAAGTTTTAGTCGCGGACATCACAAAGTAGTTTTATCCTCTTATTATTAATTTTATGTGGAACTTCATACCTCTATTAATACAAGTTTTCTGAACATATAACTGGAATATATATTTTGAGTAATTGTGTTTTATGATACCTTTATAAGACTAATAGTTCATTAAGCACGTGGAAGAGATTCATTCCAATGTAATTCAGCATCAAATAAACAATTGAATCAGAGTTAACATTTGTATTTTGTCTTAAAATTTTCTTGTAAGCGTAGAACATTATTTAAATTAATCTGAAATAAAAATAATATATCAGACACAAGATCACAGTAAAATTTTGACATAGGTCAACGTCGGATGACTTGGATCCTTTAGTTAGGCACATTGAAGCCATGTACTTTGTTAAAATATTTTTAAAGAGACGGCTTGAATCAGGATTTGCCACGTGTCAAGAATCCTGCACATAATTTCGTTTCGGAAGTAGTTATTTCTGAAGATTTTCCTACATAATACACAAGTTGAGAGCACATTGATATATGTATAAAATTTAAAATGGTAATAATTGAAGAAAGAACCCATTATAAACAAAACTTGAGTAAAGCGTAAAATAAACTAGTTATGTTAGTATCAGCTTACCTGATATTTACGGTCTTCGGATTCAGACTTAAATCTCATTATAACTGCCATAACTGGTCGTCCATGAGCGCATTGGAACGGCGTTTTACAAGTTGAAAGGCAGCCTATAAGATCCTCACATTCTTTCCGAGACAATGTATCTCCGAACATTATAGAGTACCTACACGCCTGAAAGTAATGTATACCCTTTATGTTATGTGTATATGTTATGTTCATTATCTTTACGTCATCAAGCTTCAATTATATTATTAGCCAATAGGCATGATCTGGGATTTTTTTATTCTAGATTAATTTTAAAGTAGTACGAAACGAAGGGAATTGCCACCCCTTCCACCCCCTCTTACTAAGCCCATAAGGTAGGTAGGTACTGCAAATCCAGTAAAACTACTTTTATGATCAATATAAGGACCTACTAGTTCCTGTCCCCGTAGCATAAGCACCACAATTTACGTTGTATCATGTTTTTATCGGGTCTAACTGACAAAGTCCATAGTAATTTGACAATAGAGCGTGATAAGTACTCATGATAAGGACTGGTACTTTTTAAAAATAGATCTTAAACTGATAACGGCGCGGCGTCGAATTCACTTTAAAAGATTTTCTAAATGTTAACATATCTGGGGAAGGTTTTTTCGAACACGAGGCAAGCCTTACCTCATTATTAACCAAGTCCATAATAGATTTTGGATACATCGAAACGCATCCTTTCTGATTCATAATATTTCTTATTTCTTCAGAAATAAAAATTTTCACTGTTTTGATTATTTTGTCAACCTAAAATCAAAATAAATTAATATCATCATTATTTCTTGAAAATGAGATGAGTCAATCAATTCTTATCTACTGCTGCTGCATAAGTATTTATTTATATATAGGTTAAGCATTGTTGATGCTTTGTAATTAATATATTCAACTAGCTCATCCAGCGAACTTAACACTACCATAAAAATAGGGGCAGGTGGTAGAAGAGAAAATTTAGGGTTGTATGTACTTTTTAATACCACATTATAAAAAAATAATTATTGACCAAAAATAATTTTAGGGGTGTGTAACGTAGTCTTCTATCAATTTCCTGGGATAACATTCCTCCTAACCCATATAAGAACACTAAGTTACAATACCCAATAGTTTGAATTTTGGCGCGAAGGCGCATTGTAGGTTTCAGAACACTACGTTACAGGTGGACAACCATTATCACTTAAGGATATGAAAAATAGATAGTAGCCGATTCTCAGACCTACGGAATATGCATATAAAATTTCATAAAAATCGGTCAAGCCGTTTCGGAGAAGTATGGCAACTAACATTGTGACACTTGAATTTTATATATAAGATAACCTTATTATAAGGTTAGGTTATTAAATAAAACGATTTTTACGGGTTATATGCACTGAATTTATTTATCTGACGTTTCGCAGCCTTTGCAGGACTGCGTCTTCAGAAATAAAACTTTTATTTAATGAGTGATGTGTGAAAACCTAAGAAACAAATAGGTTTGGTTATGTTAGTCTGTTTATATTCAAAGGTAAGCTGTTTAAGGGAAAAGGCACCATGAACTTATAAATATCCTTGGTACTTGCCTCTCTAACGTGGAGAGTCACCAGGATCCCACGAAACCCATTCCGGCAGGCGAGGAAGCACTGTTAGGTTTTTAGTGAGAAGCCCCCCCCCCCCTCATTTGGGGGGAGGAGGAGTCCCACATAACCCCGTCTCTCACCCAGGAGCGGGGTATGCGTCACTCATTTTCCCACCAATAAAAAAAAGGTACTTGCCTCTCTAGGATTTTGTCCAAGTATAGCTAACGGTATCGCATGTATGTTTATTTCATAATCATTTAAAATAGTCCACTGGAATCCAAATCGACAGAATTTTTCTTTATAATTATGAAGGTACATTATTTCATCTTTTGTCAATTTTAGTAAAATAATATTGTCTAAAGTTATACTTTTCCATTCGTTGCCGTTGAAGTATTCTAAAGGTTTAAAAATCATGTTACTCCTCAAAGATTTGTGTTAAAGCAATTATGGCTTAGCTTAGTTACACATTAATATAGCTGAGTTAGTAATAGTATGAAGCATTTAGGTTCTAAAATAAAAAAAATGTAACAGAAATTGTGTAAGCCCGAAACATGAATTACATGAGAAAGATATACTCAATTTAAGAAAATCTACTCTTATTTATTTTTGACTCCTATACCTGTCAAATTCTTTTCTAATGTTATTCTTTCATGAACTGCATGCTGATCAAAAAGCAGTAAATAATTTCCCAAATCTAATTCCCCTTTGATAACAGTAATAATAAATTTATTATCAACTTGTCCCAATACTTTGGCTTCCTTTAAAGATTGCTTAGTAAACGTTAGAGTGGATTTATCTCTTTCCATTCGAAAGTTAAACTTTTCAATGTCCTTAGTAGTAACATCTTTAGTATTTTGTACTCTTGCTTCAAATAGTTCCGTATTAGTTTCTACATCATTGTTAAAATTGTTGTATAGGTTCTGAAATAAAGCAAAATTGTCAGCAATTATCAGCAGCAGTTATCAAATTGAAAATGACAAGTACGTACAGTTTCGAAATAATCTTCATCAAGGTTATAATCACAAATATTTTTTGAGTTGCAATTTTCAAAAATAGGTGACATTCCTGCAAGATTAAAAGTTTAAAGATTACATGCGTGTTTACAATAAATCCAGAACAGTAACTCCATAGAAAGCTTACCTTTGGGTAAAAATCTAAATCTGTTTTTCAATTGAAACATGCTTGTGTTGAGTTGTTTTTTTTCTGATTCGATACTGTTTTCATTAAAATAATTACTTTCTATGATGAGGTCACAAATTATGTTCTCTTCAACAGTTTTTTCTCTAGTGCAGTTTATAGTAGTTCCTTCTTTATTCAAGTTACTATGAATTTGTATATTATTATCAAATTGAACTTCATGGTGTATGGATACATACGTATTTAAATATTTACAAGGTTTTTGTTGTAACATGACATTTTCATTTTCTAATTTATTATATGCATTAGGATTGATATGTGTATCTTGCTCAGTATTACTTTTTAATTGTTTATTACTATCAAAATCAATAGTGTCATCGCTGTTGAGGATTACTTCACATAAGTTTATTGGCTCTTTGGGGGACTCTGAACCAAAAACAATATTTTCGTGACTCCCTTTGATATTATTCATGTGGTCATATTTATCCAAGGTAACCGGCAAATCGCCGCTCCAATATCCCTTGGTTATATTTTTTATGTCTTCATTATGTTCCAATTGGAGGTGATTACCATTATTTATCTTCATGTTAGCTGAAGTAATAGTATAAGTAAAACAAGAAAGAGACGAAGAAATTGTTGAGTGAATTTGTTCGATATGTTCCATTTCTTTTTTATCTTTCGTCATAAATGTTTCATTGTGTGCAGTAATGTTATAACACGAGGTTCTAATACTATCTTTTGTATTTGAATTTGTATTACTTTTTCCTGAGAAGTCGCTTATATTTATTATGTTAGTATCGTCAAGATACATGTGAGTGTTTTTGAAACAGTAGTGATTTTGAAATGAAGATTCGAATCTATTTTCATATGATATAAGGGACAATTGACGAGAATTTGGCTTATTGAAGTTGTCTTTTGAATGTCTGCTTATGAAACGTTTTTTTTCATTTTTATTATTTAAAGGAAATAAAGGTTTATCTACGATACACTGGTTAGCAAATTTATTCTTACTCAAAGTTTGATTTATATTTTTATATCGGATATTTTCATAATGATGACTTTCGTATGTTGTAAGGGAATTTTTCAGAGACTCATTAATTGTAAAATAAGTTCTAAATTTCTTTTTATCTCTAGTGTTTAGAATTAAAGGATTTTTATCTTTATTTAAAACTGTATTCAATAAATCATGAGATGTCATAAAAGGGCGTTTAAAATGTTCTTGCGACTTCTGAGGCGGTGCGATGCCACTATCTTCGAACAGATTGTTTATCAAAATACTTTTACTGGTTTTGACAATGTCACTCTTCTTTGGTGCAATTCGCTTAAGATTTCTAATGTTAAATGAATGATTAGTTCGTTTGGTAGTAATATCACGCGGTATTTTCACTTTATCTGATTGTGCTTCGACACTTACGGGAGTATCTAACCTCCTTTTGATAGCCTTTTTTACCTTAACTGGTTTATCTACCAGCTTATTTTTCTTCTTGATTTTTGGGTCTGGCGTTTTCATTGATAATTCATCATTACTGTCAACCTTTTTAAGGTTGTCATCTTTAATATAATATTTTTTGGACTTTTGGGCTTGTTTTAAAATGTTATTTACATTTTTATATGCTATTTTACGCTTTGGTCTGTCGTTTTGTTTGGACTTTATTATTTTATTTTCAACGAATTGCGGTACGGAAATCTTGTCATTGTTTTTATTTAAAATACTGCAGACTTCATGCACTGGCAAAATCTTTGCGATTGAGATTTTCTTTGATCTTTTTCGTCTTCTTTTTATTAATTTCCCTGGAAAGTACCTATATATAAGATCCTCGAAACAAATTGCCTTAACAAAAAAATATTCTTTGATCGGTAAAATTATATGTAATACCTTAGACTCACATGACGTTTTTTTAATGAGCCAACGACGCGTGGTTTTGTGTCGAACATTTTATGTGCATCATCGTTGCGTAATATTAGATTTGATTTGAGATTGTGTTGTAAAAACGTAAACGCGCATTTAGCAGCTTATCTTAGCTTTGTGTGTGTGTAGATGTACGTCGTAAGCTCGTTAGGACAACGCCGTTTGCAGGGTGTTTAGGGTAGGTTCCTAATTAATTTACTTACCCTTTATACCATTCTGCATCTGAGACATTCCAAGCTTTTTGGAATTGTTACCCAATATTTTCTTTGTTATTTCATTTACTTTTTCTGTTATGCTTGAGGTTATTGGTTGTTGGACAAAGATAGGTTTTTCTGGTACTTTATTTTCTTTCAGATTCATGTCTCCTTTGTAAAATTTTATTAACTTTTCAAGCAATACCTTCACTTGATCCCAATTTTTAAATTCTAGTACTGACTGCTTTGGTGTGGAATTTACGTCATAGTCATGATACGGACACGATAGAAAGATAATATAGAACGGTATATAACTTTTAGCATCGCAATAATTTTCATTGTCAGGATGCTGAAAATATGCAAAATACTTTTCACATCTACAGATTTTCTATGAAGCCCAGACAGCAGACGGGACTTGGAACTCGCACCCTCCGTTATCGGGGTGAAAGTACCAGTTACGTTACCGCGACCTGATTGACCGTGTCGAATTTCTTTTAGAATTTCTTAGGCTGTAAGGAATTGCATTGCTCACTGCATTCGCCCGGATAGCGGAGGATGCCGGTTTGAGTCCCGTCTGCTGGCTGAACGCGTTGATTTTTTTCTAGTAAAATTTTCTTTACATTTAAACCTAGAAGTTAACTGCTTAAAATATAATAAACTATTTTTCACATTTTATATTGAATTAAATAATAGTAATTATATAAGGAACTGCATACTGATTACCTTGATTTGTTTTTTCATGTCTTTATTAAATAATTTGAGATGTTTTATAAAATACCCTTGCACGAGTTTGTTTAGTTTGATATCTTTCACAATTTTTTTATTTAAAAATATCCAGTGAGTATAAGACAGTTCATCACATTTTTTACCTATATAAGCTAAACATTTATAGTCATTTTTCTCTACTTGTAATTCTTGTATATCAACATTTTCAATATTAAACATGATTTTTATTTTTTTATAGATATCCTTTATTTTGTGCATTTGGAATACGATTTCATTGGAAGTATTATCTCGTAAAGTTAATGATAAGTTATTATTAATTAATGATATCTGTTCTAAAAACGTTTTAATATCATTTATTTCCTGTAAGGGTCTTATAGCCTTTCTTTGAATGTTCATATTATATAGAAATCCACTGACTTCAACCTAAAATTTCAAATTGGCTAAGGCCGCGTTGTTTGTTCCATAGTCAATTTTGATTGTAAGTCAATGTCATGTCAAATACATAGTAAAGTGTGTTAAATTTTGACAATTATTTATTTTTTATAAAGTATTTCAACTTGAACTATAGTCACATTTATATGTAAAACAACGCTGCATATCATAAATTAGTAGTTAAATTTGTTCACGTACACTTCACGTCAACTACATAGCATAATGTGACATTGCTATGCTATGCTATGTATCAAACAACTCGGCCTAATAATGTAAATGATTAGGCCGCGTTAATCACATTAGGAAAAAATAAGAAGTACCTATCTATTAAGGTATTAATAAATAGGGTAACTCACATTACTTTTACACGCAACACAAAAGAAAATCAACTTATGAAAAAAATGCTTAGGTAGTTACTTACGGTAGTCCCTTTAGAAGCTCTATTATTATTAGTTTTAATTAAGTTACATTCCAAGCCAGCTTCAAATATTTTACACCATGTTTCTTCTGAATTTCTGGATATTATTTTGACAGTTTTAGATATATTCACAATATCTGAAAGTACTTGCCCACAAAAACCATACATGTTAGGGGCAGCTCTAAACTGGCATAAGTTGCTATATTTGGATGTTGCATACTTTTGTCCAAGTAGTTTAAAATCTTTTTTAGTAATCCCGCATCCATTGTCGACAATTTGAATTTTATTTTCTAATAAATCAATTCTAACTGCAATCGAAGTTGATTCGGCATCCAACGAATTATAAACCTACAACACAAAAGAAACTTCATTATACATAAAATTTATGTACTAAGTACTTTGATATTTTAAGATAGTAATAGTTTACCAGTTCTTCTACTGCAGTCTTAAAATTAGTAATTTTACTAGAGGAACGGATAATTGATTGTATTTCTTCGTTAAGCTTTTTTATGGACATATTAGTTTACAACAAAGTCAGTGTCACTGATGAAAGAACATGGTTAATCTGCTATAATTCATTTGTTTGTTAATAAATAAAAAAATAAATTGCTACCTGCGCTATAGAAACTCCTTCGTTTTTTAAAAGAAACAAATTTTTAAATATGAATTTGCTGGTTTTCAAGCACAAAGTAGTGAGAGGTAGGTACACAAGGCGTTTCAGGTTTCAGTCACAAAGCAAATTTTACATATTAACCTTAAATCCCCTCGGCACATTTCTTCTACATAATAACCAAATGTATTCTTACAAGGCTCTGTACCGTAATTACTCCACCCCTCCACCCTCCACGTGAAATGTAAGTGAGAGAGTCTAGTCGCCCCTCATTTTCTGTCATGCCACGCGCAGTGTAGGGTTCCGTAGATATTTTATTTTAAATAGTTTTTTTTAGATTTTGTTCTTCAATGCTTTGTTTTTACGCATTATAAACAAGGAATCACTTCATCTAAGTCACTTTTAATGTGTTTTTCTAAGGATTTTTATTAGGTAAGAAATTTTCCCATAAGTTGAACGGCTTTGACTCTTAAAATAAATGATGTATCTTGACTGTTATATATTTCCTTAAAAATTCATGAAAAGCACTATTGTATTATCATGAATTTCTTCATTATTTTTCAAGCTGCCCAGTATTAAGACAAGATTCGAACCCGCATCTTCATCGAATCCCGTCTGAATCCTGGATCGAGTAGAATTTTTTCTAGTATATTCTTCCTTAGATTTATCCATCTAGCAGTTGAATGCTTACAAATATATTAAAAAATAACGTCTTAAACAAAGAAAGTTAAAGAGAGGTAACGCATAGCGGGTTTTCCTAAGGAATTGAAGTGCCGTCAAGTAGGCCTTTTCGCTAACTGTTTTTGGCAGATGGAAGTGATTATCACGGAGCTATTTAGTGATCCACTATTGCTTTATTATGACGTCACTAAGATACACTTGTTTTGAAAAGCAGCGATTCTCTTTAGTTACATACTGTAAATGTCAAAAAATTAGCGAACAGGCCGGCTGGGCGCTCACTTACTTACACCAATTAGTGTGTCTCTTGACACACGATTATTACTATAACCAATAACTTTGCAGAATCGACAACCCTGGTTTGATGTGGCTTGTAAAAGCAAAGGATGGGTAGTGGCAATCATCCCTACAAGCACTTCCAAGTGGAGCTTTGGTAAACTTACTAAATGTAGAAACCTTAATGTTGGAATTGTAGGACCCCCCACGACAACGGCTAACTGGAGCTGAGGTTCGAGTCTCAGAGACGCCCTCTAGTTGAGCCGACCCCCTCAGGTTCGAGTGGTCTAGAGGCTACAGACGGAGAGAAGGCTCCCCCCGCGGGGAGATGCCATCCGCCTGGAATACCTCTGGTGGCACTCGCCAATTCTCGGCTTGAGGTCCCCTTAGGATCTCGCCGTTCGTCCCCAAACCCGGTGACGCTGTAAAGGTCATCTGCAACCAACAGCACACACTCTCAAAAAAGTAATTGTAGGAAAAAAACACTGCAGAATAATATTACTTACTTGCATTTTTCGTCAAAATTGAGGATGCTCCAATTGGAACGGTCAATGTCTTTCTTTTATGAAGACCAGAAATGAATTAGCGACCTAAACTGCTTTTACGTCAATATTTAATGCTTCAAGTCATTTTATAATGGTTTTGTTACCCAGCTCCCATTGAAGCCTTTCATAATAAATTACTTTTGCATTTAATCTGTCTACCCTGTATAAAGTTTGTAACAACCACTAGGTGTATTCAAAAAGTAGGTTGCATATACCTATTTAATGAATGTAATCGATTGGTATTTAGCCCTGAATTTATAGCGTTTCCTATCGTGTGATACAGTAGTAATCTAACAGTCCATATGACCGTAAGTTTCGATCGCGTGTTATTTGTGCTCGCTTGGACAATTACACAGGTGTGCTATTACCCATAAAAATATCGACTGATAATATATATGATTGAATAATACAGATTTGGACCTGTGTTGTGAATGAAGCTACATTGATAGGGTAGTATGATAAATGCAGTCGTGCCGAGAATATTTGTGAGCTTTCATGTAGATATGAGTGAACTGTTACAGGAAGAGATACGATTGTTTTGGGAATATGTGAAATGGTGAGTAAATTTATACTAAAGAAGGTAAGTAAATTAAATCTACATATTTGCCAGTGCATATTTATACTTTTATAAAATAAAAGATGACTCGCATGAATTTGGTAGTTAGGAGCACTTCAAGTTACGAGGACACCAGAGTCAATTTTTTCCAATAGATTATGAATATTATATCAAGTATGATAAAGCTCAAATTCAGTTGGAGAAATCTGAGTTGCATTTATCAATATTTTTGTTTAAACTTAAAGAAAAGTTGCAGATTATTTGTGTTTACGATAGATTCTATATACACACATCAAAAGTGTCTAGGGATCAACATATATTTTTGCAATAACTTTTCTCCTGATTGATATTAATTAAAATTTTCTTTAAGGATTCATCAAATAAAGTGTTTTCGTTTGTCACAGTAACGATAAACCAAGTCACCTTTGCATTAATAAAGAAATTTGCCATTTTCCTAATAAAGGGATTTTTGACATTTGAACCACTAACACAAAAGTTCGAAAAAAAGACTGAAATAACAGTTTTCTCTAAAATTTTATTGGGTAACTTAAACAATTAATAATCCGTATTTCTACCGCGAACACTAACAACACAAGAACATCGGTTTGGCATACTCAAAATGAGTTCATCCAAATCACGCTGTGGAATGGCCGCCCATGTTCGTTGCAACAACAAAAAAAGGTCTTCTTGCGACTGGATACCCTCCATATTCGGCAGAGCTCTTCTCTGTAGCATATCCCATGCATGCTCAATCGGGTTCAAGTCTGGCGACTGAGCAGGCCAGGGCAGGACATTGATGTTAGCTGCGGCGAGAGTCTGTCTTACAACTGTTGCGGTGTGCGGTCGTGCATTATCATGCATTAACTGAAATAAGGGACCGATTTGCACTTGTAGAGGAACGATGACGTCTGATACAATCGTCTCAGCATAAATTTGAGCGTTGAGGTTGCCTCTGATCCAAATCAACTCAGTTCTTCCGCCGATCCAAATACCCGCCCATACCATGATGGTTCCACCACTATAAGGATGGACTTCCTGGCAGGATTTTAATCGCTGTTGGCGTCCAGGGGTTCTCCAGTGTCGTATACGTCTTGTATCCGGTCTCATACCAAAACGAGACTCATCAGAAAAGCACACGAAACGCCATTGTTCTTCTGCCCAATTTCTGTGTTCAAGAGCCCATTGATATCGAATCCTACGATTGTGCATTGCTATAGGTGGTACCCGTAGCGGTCTTCGGGAATGAAGGTTCACTTCATGCAAGCGGTTTCTGACTGTTTGGTCGCTAATTAAGTTCCCTGAAGAGTGATGAAGCCTCACGGCTAACATCATGGCGGTTATTGTTGGAGCTCTTCGAGTTAAGATTTGAATGTATCGGTCTTGTCTCCGTGTGGTGCAGCGATACCGTCCTCCATGGCGCTCAGCCACGGTACCAGTGCTTCGGTATCGTGTCCAAAGTCGACTGATAACACTCTGACTTGTATTCAGAGCTAAAGCCACAGTACGTTGCCGGGAACCAGCTTCTATCATTCCCACGGCTCTGAGCATTTCTTCCCTGCTTAAATGACGTCGCCGCTCCATAATAACGTTGGTTTTAATCAGTAGTAGGGAAACAGTAGCACTAATAATGTCTTCAATGCGTTGTATGTTTTTATAGGGAAAATATTGACAGCTGATTTTCATCTTTTACTCGAATTTGATTCACAGTTCCTGATTCAAATTATGAAATGCACCAAAGAGGATCCATATAAATTTATAAAATCATAAATTTATTACAAAGCCACATCTCAATCTCAAGAAATCCGCATAAAAATGCTTGATCCCTAGACACTTTTGATGTGTGTAGTTTTAAACTTTTTGCATCTGCAGTGTTTGTTCAAAGCTAAAGAAGATGATACAATAGAATATAAGTTATTTGTAAACAATGTTAAGAAATTGCAATTATTTAGTGCAACAATGAACTCACTTTTTGCCGGTAGGTATTGAAACACTTAACATTTCTAAAGAAAGAAATTTATCAATACTCAATGTTTACCCCAATATTGCAGGTAAGTTGTTGCAAATGTTTTTATGGGCGCCAGATAGTGGATATCTCTCTGCGCGTATTTTATTCCTTTGTATTTCTAATGACTCTATTTTTTATGGTATTCTGACGCACTGTTTGGGAATTGCAGGGGTAACTGTATTTGGGCATAAAAATTTAGTCAACCCGGAGCATTCTTAACTGTTTTATGCAATCTTTTGTAAGTATTGTTTAAGTCAAAGAACACAGAAAGAGGTTTGAGTATATACCCTACCTACGTCGATGAATCTTGCGTTAAAATGATACAAAACTTAGAGGAAAGAGTAAAATATATTGTGGTGGTTATTTTTCAGTCAAATATTCTTGGAGGTTACTAGATTATATTTATATTATTATTTGTTAATATTTTATTTATAGCACGTGATTATGTGGGGATGTCTGACCTACTGACATGATAGTGTGGGTTAATATCGACGAAATAATTAATTAGATCAATATCCAAAGCATTGTGTCTCCGCTTTTTAAGAAATTTTAGACACTTGTTATTTTATTTATCAAAATTTTTGTGTACGGTCGGTCACTATTTAATTCATTCTATCATCATCAACATCTGTGTAGGGTACATTCAGATGACAGGCGTTAGGCGTGCGTTAAGTTTTTGTGTCATGTTCATAATAAATTATTATGATGTGTGCTGTTTTGTTGAGTTGCGTATTTTTCAGGAACGGTCCTGAAAACAGCAATTTCTTCCTAGAATATGAGAACAAGTTCTACTCATGCACTTCTTAAAATGTTGTTGGAATAGTCAGAGTTTGACATATACCATATAAACGTGCGTTAGCATCTGAAATATACGTCAAGTTCATAAAAACGCGTGCCTATTATCTGAACGTGTTCTAGGGTGTTTCTTTGATATATTATTGTGTATGGTGTAAGAAGAGCATGCGATACTTGCCACTCTTTTCCGCCCGCGATGTCGTTTCCGTCTTGTATGTATTGTGTTTCCGTCAACCTATTTTGCGCAACTTTATTAACTTTTGTTTTAGTTGGAAAAAATATAAGTTTAGTCACATTTACACTATTTTTAGCATTGAAAGGATCAGGAAAAGAGTTGAAATCAGAGATAATTAAATGGCTAGAAGAGGACGAAAAGTACTCCAATTTAATCATGGTTTGCCATCTGATCTCAAGTGTTGCATCCGACTTCCGGGTGGATCGATGTTAAAAATTATCGTTTCAGCATTGGTGTCGCTAAACTCAAAACTAAATTTAACATCAGTCCTGCCTTAATTCTGTACCTATAGAGGATGACAAGGATACATTGTCGTCAAATTTTAATTTAGGTTAAGAAACTTATGCCAGAATTGACCATGTAATTAATTTCTCCATGTTTTGTCTCTGTCTATTGAATGACAAATAGCATTTCAGTGACATGAACAAAACACGGCGTAACTAGTCTTAGCTTATCCATAGTTTATCAATAAGTGGGTAAAAGTTTTACTCCATATAAAACACCACTGGTGCTAAGAGAGGTAGAAGCCACATCCAATTCCCGCTCGAACTCGAGCACCCGTTTGGAGAAGTACACTTTTCTAAGTAGGTACCTAACTATGGCTACAGCCAACTAAGATGGTATTTTTTTGTGTTATATTCCTACAGTTAACTATTTTTCCATAGGTCCAGGGCTTAGGGGGATTAAGTTAGGGCAGGGCAACGCGGTTTCTTATGGTGGCCATTTACCATCGGTTGGGCACTAAGGGTCAATTCAGGTCATCGCAATTGCAGCGACTGGCACCGACGCGGCTAGCACTTTCTCACTGAAAGCGGTGTGAAATAATTTTCAAACTTTATCTACACACTGAAAAGACCAGTATCGCCCGCGAAGTCGTGTAATTTTAGAAATTATCACAAAACTTTGTGATAGAGGACAACCACATGAGTAAAGAAACGTACAATACTGCTGGCCATACTCATGGTGGAATAATGGATACAAAACTGCTGAAAAAACAGCGCTGTGAAAAACTACCTAAACTTTAGTGAAATAAGCTTTGCATTTGTCTATTACAATAATTGATTATAGAGTTTCTTCTCATTATTTGGAAATCACAATCAAAAGTTCAAAGCTCACCCGGTTTTCATCAAAATTGTAGAAACTTTCTTTTAATGGTCTATTTCTATTTCTTGACCAACTAGTGCAATATATTCTATCAGTTTCTTGTAAGTGTGATAGGGATTTTATTTAAGTGATTTGATGATCAGTTATTCTTGGGTCATGGTTGCTATAAAGTTTTTTTTTAATAATTGTATAGCCAAGTTTTACCAGCTCTAATTAGAGCGCCCATCTAAGGTTGCTTGCAGTGTAATGAACCTTATGGTAGTGCTATTTTTCCGTTAGTTATTAAGGGTCCAGGTATCAGTACCCATACCACGAACCAATATCGAATTCCAATAGTTTGCGAGTCCGAAATGTCATTGTCAAGTTTTGTATGGAAACTTGAACACCAGCGCCATAACGAGTGCACCGAGAACTAAAAATCAGTACACATTGGACAATGACATTTCGCACTCGCAAACTATTCGAATTCGATATCTTTTCGTGCTAAGGGTACAGGGGTACGGGCGTAAGATGGCTGAAACGGCACAATTTTCTGTAGAATTTGCTATCTTTGCAATTATGGACTCTACGACATTAGATGGGGCAGGGTAATTTGCTGAGCCTTGATGTCAAATGTATAGTTGATTTAGATTTTAGCTAGACTTAAGGCACTTATTTACTTTGGGAAAAAAGCAAAAATGCAATAATTTGTGATTTTGATTAAAAAATAAACAAATATTAGAATTTTATCAAAATAAAAAGCTAAATCAAGAATGAGTCAGTGTTTGCACATTTCTTTGTAAGAAGATTTGCCGTATCTTGTAAGTTTGCGGGTGTTCGTCCTGTCCATTATTGCCAAAACAAAGCGTGGAGAGATAAACAAAAAAAGGGATTATTGTTTAGAAAAATGGTACTACCTACTATAAATAGAAATACTTTCTTTAAAACGGCATCAGTCCTCCGGGAGACATTGTTGAGGAAGGCCAACAAATATTTTCATAAAGGTAAGAAGATATGTAAATTTTAACACTAATTTTATTTATTTCGAATCAGTGAATTATTATTTACATACTTGTTCTAAGTTAGATTTTATTATATAGGTACTGTATATTTTGTTAATGAGGTAAGATTTAAGATTAATGAGGTTCCTCATTTATACAGTAAAATGATGTAATTTTCAGATGCTGAGATCAATAATTGTCCTCTTGGCTCTCGGAGCTATTGGAAGGTCAGCAGAAATGTCATCCTCGTATGCGTTGTTGGAAAAGCAAGCTAATTTCCAACCTGACCTTAAAACGGAATCGGTAGGTAAATTTTCGAGAGACGAGGCATTTGAACCAGAGCGTCATCCAGTATATAGACCT